TTTTTAAAATTTATTTTCAGAGAGAGGAGAAAGGAGGGAGAAAGAGAGGGAGAGAAACATCAATTGGTTGCCTCTTGTTCGCCGCCAGATGGGGACCAGGCCTGCAACCCAGGCATGTGCCCGGACTGGGAATCGAACCATCGACCTTTCAGTTCACAGGCTAGTGCTCAGTCTGCTGAGCCACACCAGCCAGGGTGGTAATTACCTTTAATTTTAAAGATAGTTTTTCACTCCTCAATTTTAAGAAAATACTCCTGGCTTTTTTCTTTAACTAAATGAAATATAAATACTTGCATTCAGAGCCAGCATATATTTCCCATAGGCCATTCTAAAATAGAGAAACACTTAAATGGGTATATTTTATTATTTGTAAATTATGCCTCAGAGTCTATTAGAAAAACTTACTGAACTACATACTTAATATGTGTGCATTTTACTGGGTATACCTTAATTTTAAAATCTATATTTAAAAAACTATTGTGTAAACACCTCTTAATTTTCCCCTTTATTAAATGGCCTGTCCAAGTTTCTCTCTCTCTCTCTCTCTCTCTCTCTCTCTCAGGCACCAAAAAAAGCCCATATTAATAATCCTTTGGCTGAATTGAATCAGTTGCATGCTACTGTGGCTGTTTCAGCCTTTATTTACTCAGTATTCAGTGGTTCATCCATATTGTTAATCATCTCTTCATCGTTCTTCGGTCACACCAGCTGGACTGACAGATTCACGAGGCGGAGTTTGTACCTATTGCTAAATGCTTCCAAGTAACATGTAGAACAGCAGATTTAAGATTGATTTTCATTCCTTAAAGTTATGTTCTGTGTTCTGTTGCATTTCCCTGAAAGCTTAATCTCATCTCTAAAAGATGTGATGTATATGCTACTGATAGATTAATTTGTTTAATCTCAGCTAGGTTTATAATCTATCATCATGGTTTTTAAATTATTGGCTTATCTCTAGCATGAGTAAAAAACTCCTCCCAGCCATTTTGTAGGTTTTTAAATAAGTAGACTAGCAGGATGTGGACAGGTTTTTAAACTTTTTAATCCAAGTTAAATACGCACGTGGCTTAAGAAGTCAAACAGCACCGGAACAGGTCTGTAATAAAGCCCAGCTAGTGGCTTGCCCACACCTCGGGCCACTGCCCCGTCTCTTCTCCCCAGCATGACCATTGCGGCTCTCGAGCTGCTCGTCCTAGCTTATGTGCGTCCTTATTTCTAAGGAGCATATTTCAATCACTAATATAAGCCTTTCCTCAACTAAATCTTATTTTCTTAAACAGCCGTCTCCTGCTTGTCTTCCCCTTTACTTCCCCTCGCCGTCTTCCCACTATGGTATACTATTTAGTAAAAACAATAGTATTTACGTTATTTGCCTTTAGTAGTCACAGATAGTGTTGTACTATCTTGTTTCCTTTTTGAAAATTTTTCTGTAGTTAATAATTGCCTTGTTCCTTTCATTTGCATTGGTTTTTATTTTTTCCTACCCATTGCTAATTCTTAGCAGACCTTCTGGTAGCCTCTCAGAACAACTTTCCACAAGGTCACTTAGTGCCGTCTAATAGAAATTCAAGGCAATGCTTATACAAGGTCTGTCCAGAAAGTATCCATCCATTTACTATGAAAAATAAAGACGTTTATTGCAGAAGATAAACCATACAAGAAACATTGTATAGAGGACAGGGATGCCTCCATCCCCTCCAAAATAGGCACCTTGGGATTTCATACAGCTCTCCCAACCGCCATCAGCTGCCCCATCGTATTTTCCTGAAACTCATTGAACATCTGAAATCTCTTCCCTTTCAAGGGTGATTTTAGTTTTGGGAAAAGCCAGAAGTTACAGGGTGCCAAATCTGGGCTATAAAGAGGCTGAGTCACCTGGTGATTTGGTGTTACGCCAAAAAACTCGGCACGAGATGTGATGCATGAGCAGGCGCATTGTGGTGATGAAGCTGCCAGTCACCAGTTGCCCAGAGCTCTGACCTTCTGAGTCATCTGAATAGTTTCCATGGAGGAGTGTTCAAGCTTAGTGCAAAATTTGATGCAGATGTGTTGCTCTACTCAGTCATTTTGAATGAGACGGCCACACAGTACACATGCTCCCTCCACAGTGTCTGCTGCTCCCACTGACTAGTACAGTGAAGTCATCATTGTTCACACATGCACATTCCAGTCCACTCCCCTTGGCTGCCAGGTTACATTGATATTGTGCGAACCATTCTCATTATATTAACAGTGGCTGGGCTTTTTTCTGGACAGACCTTGTATATAATCTTACCTTTTGTAGTAGCCACAGAGGAAAAGGTTAAAAGAAGCAGATGAAATTAATATATTTGACTTAACCCAATATGTTCAACATGTTATATCAACAAATAATATTTACAGTATCTGAGACATTTTACTTCCTTTTCTTTTAGCACTAAGTCGTCAGCCTCCGATGTATATTTTGTACTTTATGTAGCCTCTCTTTTCAGACTGGTCATGTCTCAGGTGCTCTCAGCGGCCGCCGTGCTGGACAGAGCAGTTCGGGTGATTGCTGTCTCAGCGCTCTCTTGCAGACCTCCATGCCCCTCCTCCCTGGTTCGGGTGGGCCGTGGGCCTGTCACGCAGAGCTGAGCTGTTTTGAGACTTCCTTTGCTTTCCTTCTCAGCTGAATTCCCTGGATGTAGACTTCACGTCTCTCCCTCACTTCTCTGTGGTCCTTTGGTCGCAGTTGGTACATGGACAAAGGCATGTGGCTGACACATCTGTCTCCGAGGCCCTCTGCTTTAATCTGGCTTGCGGTCTCCTGGGTCTGCACATGGCTGCCAGCCTGGGAGCGCCTCCTTTCACCGTTTTTGAATAGACTTCCTTTGCCTTTGCTCTTGTGTCGCATTTTTTTCCTTGTGAATCTTACCCATTTCTTTTTTGATTTGTTCTCTCCTTAGGTAGAAAAACATGCTCCATGGATTACTAAGAAAAGGAAACATGGGTATAAAGTTTTTGAGGTCTTGCACATCTGGGAATGTTTTTATTGTCCCTTCTCACTTGATTATTGGGCTATATGTAGAATTCTAGGTTGGAAATCATTTTTCTTCAGAATTTTGAAGGCATTGCTCCATTGCTGTCCAGCCTTTAGTGTTCTTCTGGCAAAGTCAGAAGCCATTCTGATCACCTTACCCTTTGAAGGTCATCTATCTTTTTCTTCCTGGAAACTTACAGAGTATTCTCTTCACAGGATTCTGGGATTACAAATTAATGTGCTGTAGTGTGAGTTTGTTGTTATCATGATGATGAGCACTTGGTGGGTCTGAAAGATTTTCTTGCACTGTTTTTTGATGTTTTCTTTTTTTATGTGTTTTGTTTTGCCTAATTTTTTATTATAGTGGGTTTTTTTAAATTTATTTGTTCGACTTTACTTTCTGAGAAAACTTTTTCTATCTGGTCTTCTGACTCTTTAATTAAGCTTATCATATTCTCTGTCTTGTTTTTAAGTTCCAGGTGACGTTTTTATTTTATGTAGCATCCTGTTCTTAATTCATCGATACAATACCTTATCTTTCTGAGTATATTATCTTTTCTTATCTTTCTTAGTATATTAATATATATTTTTAAAGCTTTCTTTTCTCTGTGGTTTATTAAAACAGGGCTTTTTTTCCTTTTTTTTTCCCTTGTAAATCTCTTTTATACTAGAGGCTTTCCTCTCCCATCTTGGTACCAGTGTTGTCTGCACATGATGAGGAGTTGGAACTTACAAGGCCCATCAGGAGCTCTAAGCAGGTGTAAGAGGCTTGCTAGTGCTGTTCTGACCTGGGCCTTTAGGGGGCTGTCAGTTGCATGCCCTGGTGATAGAATCTTTTGGTCTTTACTCATGCCTGCGTATATAATCTAGAGAGCACTCTGCCTCCTGATACACGTTTTCCAGAAAACCTTCAGATTTCTGCAGACTCCAGAGGCAGTAGTCTTGGCGGGGCGGAGTCGGGGGCCGAGGGGCGGATCCAGCTCCTTTCGGACAGCTCTACCCGTGACAGATTGACCCTGCGGTGAATCCCACCCCTTTCCAGAGAGGGGGGGTTCTGCGGTGGAAATTGGGGTGCTCCTCTGCTTTCCTCCCTGGTTTGTAAGTCTTTCCAGCTCCTAGTCAGCCTGATTTCCAGCTTTCAGAATTCTCTTGCTGTTGTCTTCTCCCCTGTTCTCCCCTTGTGTGCGTGTCTTTTTTTTTTTTTTATTGTAAAATATACATAACGAAATTTATCATTATAACCATTTTTGGGTGTACAGTTTAGTGGCATGAAGTGCATTCACATTGTTATGCGAGTTTGTCTTTTAATAATAAAATACAAATTAAAAAGGACAGCGTTTTGAATGCGATTACAGTGGTGTTTTAGGGGGGCAGAATTAGATGTGTGTGATCAGTCTAGCAGGAGGCATGATGCGGGTCCTTCTCTCTGACAGTTGAGTGTAATGGGGTCTGTTTAGCATCTCCTAGGAAAGCTGTTGGGTAGTTTATGGGCATAAAGTGCTTTTTATCTGCCCTTAATAAGTTACTTTATAAAAGGTTACAGTAGCACTCGCAGGCCTGACGTTCAAGGCCCTCCAAGGTCTGGCCTACCCACCCTGTGCCCTAGCCGTCTGTCCTTTGGCCCCAGCAGCCCATTCACCGTTCCTCGCGTTAGAGGTGAACTTCAGTGCCAGGTTGCTGTGTGTTCCCAAGTGGAGCCCCCCCCAGCCCCGCCCGGACGCACGCCTTCCCTCTCCCTGCCCTCCTCCCCGTGAGCCCAGCTCCCGGCCCCACACACCTCCTCGCACCCCAGGCGTGGGCTTGCTCCTCTCTTTTTCTCTCATGACCTTGGGCTGCCTCGGCATTGTCACCTTGAGTTTCCCATGCAGCCGGGCTCCCTTTGACGTCTGTTTTTGCACTGGGCCTTCCTCAGTGCCTGGCACATGGCCCACGCTCGGTTAAATGTCTGGATGAATTCCTGATGCCAGCAATTTCAAGAGAACTCTTTATCCTTGTCTCGTAGGATATCCGACACAAAGCCAGCGACTTCCCGTGTAGAGTGGCCAAGCTTCCCAAGAACAAAAACCGAAACAGGTACAGAGATGTCAGTCCCTGTAAGTATTCATATCTCCATAACCGGTCTTGCTGTTTCCCTAGCGTCTGGTTCTTCCTCAGCTGCAGGGCCTCTCAGTCAAGACTCTTTCGCCCTGGGGTTTGGTGATAAATCAGTAGCAATAGAGGTTTATGACTTGACTGTTTCCTATAACAAAGACATTAGAGACTTATAGAAATGGTTCGTTTTTCCACCATTGTAGAAAGGGGTAAGGTTTCAGTTTCTGGAAAATTCAGCTAATTTCAGAGCACTTTTTTAGCTTTGACTGGTTTTTTGATGAATCACTTTCCTACCAGCTGAAGCAGAGGAGAGCGGGCATAACGTGACCTTCTCTGGGTGACTCAGCAGCGGTGTTCTTAGACCCTGGCCCTTGCACCGAGCTGTGATGACGCCCTGTGCAGGCGCTCGGGGTGGGGGCTGCTCCCCCTCTGCCGAAGAGGCAAGTCAGCTCTGCTCCCGGGTCCCCGCCCACCCTGCCCCCTGCCCCCTGCAGCCTTCATCTTCGCAGCGCCTTGCTGCTGTCAGCTCTCCGTCGGCCCACTGGCCTCTGGCAGCCTCCTCTGCCTTCCGAGTGCTTGTTCTCAATCCACTCATATCTTGAAAGCAAATAAGAAAACATGCTAGAATTTGCATGAAGCAGGGCAAGCTGGAACTGAGTGAAGAACATGAACTTTGCTGTCTCCTCGAGGCCACAGAAGCCTTTTTGACTCACTTCCCGGGTTTTTAGACACTGCTGGTCAGTGGTGGTAGGAGATTCTGTGGGTCGTTCCTCAGACAGGCACTTCCTGCACGGCCCCCGTGGTTGCAGATGGTGGCTGTCGGAGCTCTCTGCGGAGAGCCCGCAGTGCCCCCGCCCTGCCTCGCGCAGCGCCCAGGGTCCCGGGACGGGGCAGAAGTGGACCTGGATGGCACGGAGCGGCCTGCCTCCGACTGCCGTCACAGCTGCCTGCTGCTTACAGGCATGTGGCTTTGGGCACATCGTTTTCCCCTGTGACCCACAGGAAAACAGTAGTCATACTGATCTTGCTAGATGGTGTAAAGATGAAATAAAGTAACATCAGCCTTTTAGCCCAGTGTCTTGCTCAGAAATGTTGGCAGTGGTGGAGATCGCCATTAACTGAATGAGGACACACGCCAGCAACATAGGTCATCGGGTGCAGTTTTAGGTCGTCGGGTGACAAACGATTGTGCTCCAACACCTGATACTCTTGAGTTAGCATGTCCAGCCTGTGGCACGTCAGAGGTGTTTTTGATTTTTTTTAAAGAAGTGCCCTGAGTGTTTCTGCTGTGAGGTCCCGGCCAGCTGCCCAGAGCTTGGGAGAACCAATTACTGCTCGCCTCTCTCAGCGGTGCCGGGAGGTACCCTTGGTCTCTAGCTCTTGCTGTACTTACTCTGAATTAGTCAATAGTGTGTTCAGTATTCCCTTTCTATATCTTTGATCAGTGCTCATCTAAATGATTTTATGAACCAGTTTTACAGAGAAAAAGAAGCATTTAAAACATTCTTCCAGGGAAACATTCCGAATCTTTTTTGCCCCAATCTCACTTCTCATATTTTTTTCCCCCTACCTCCACTCGCCAGTAGAAAAGTAATTTGCTTTTAAATTATGGGAGGAATGGGGGAATGGCTCAAGGTAGAGGGGGTCTTGTTATCTTCCACTTGGCAAGTGAAAAACCCAGCACTCGGAGGAGGAGTTGTTGCCGAAGGCCGCCCACTGCTGTATGGGCCTCACGTAACCCGCCAATGCCAGTCACAGGAATTTTTGAGATCTTTTATTTCCATGATCCACTTACGTGTTACCAAAGGATTTCAGTTTGTATTAACCCTCCACAATGAGAAACAGTATTCCAAGTAGTGGTTGATTTTCAAAAACATCTTTTGGGAATTCTTAGACCAAAAAGTCCCAAACCACTTATCCTGGTTAACTTCCCCTTTCCCATTGGCTTGGGGAGAAGATAATATTTATGGGCGGTTACCTCAGTTCATCACCCTTTGCATTGTACCAGAAATAATAATACCCATCCCCCCTTGTTTGCTGTGCTAGTAGGACAAGGAAAGTGGCCCTGGGGAAACCACTGTTTCTGGGACAAAGCCGTGGTCAAAGGGGAAGATGGCTCTGTTTTGTGCTAACCTGGGCAGAACTTCCAATTGAGAGTTTATTTTTAAAAACTGTTCTGCAAGTTACATTTATGTACTTTCAGTGTTTTGGATTCAAAGTTACTTTTTTAAGGTGAACTCTCTTTTAAGTGTTTTTGATCATGATAAAGTCTGACTTTGAAAGATTTAGAATCATTTTAAGAGTGTTATACTTGAACTTTAAAAAAAAACCCTTGTGTAAAAAAATTTAAGCTGTTACTTTTCACACTGTTGTAGACTTAGGTCATTTAATCTTTAAACCTTTAGACATAGGTTAAGTTGAAGTGTTCTTATAAATCCTACCTATAAAAGTATATATACCAGGGGGCAAAAGTAGGTCCACAATTTGAGTATACAAAACAGAGTTTATTCTTGTATTATTATTTATTAATTATTACGTTGTTTTCCATACGGACAACTGTAAACCTACCTTTGCCCCACCCCATATTAAGCATCAGAAAACAGATCTCTTGACACCTTCTCCCCAGCGTACCAAGTTGTAGGACAGGAATAAATGTCATAGGAAGATGCGGCGTGAGAACAGATCTCCCAGATAGGACGTCATCTGTGTTTTAGTGTAGTTTGGCTCTGTTGCCATTCAGCATCCAGTTCCCAACACTTCGGAAACCTTGCTGAAGGCACTAGTTGTCCCCATATTGATGACGGATCTCAATGTAAGAAGCAGAGCCTCAGCCCATGTGAACTCCCTTAATGCCACCCACTTGCCGCCTCTGCTCTCCCCGGGGGGCGCGCTGCCTGTGCGGACACTCTGGCCGTCCAGGATTAACCTCTGAGTGCCGGTTTGCCTTGCAGTTGACCATAGTCGGATTAAACTACATCAAGAGGATAACGACTATATCAATGCTAGTTTGATAAAAATGGAAGAAGCGCAAAGAAGTTACATTCTTACTCAGGTAAACCCAGGATTGTCTGGATTTCTCTTTTGTAATGTTTTTTGCCTTGCTTGATGTCAGTTGAAACGTGTTAGAGTGCTGTTATCTACACCTCAAATAAAATCTGCCACATCCTTTAGAAGGTCAGGTTTTAAACAACCCATAAAAACAACAGAGTAGGAAAAAATCCTCCTTTAGAGATTCAGATTGGGTGTAACACTAATCTTTCTGAGAAGTATGATGTTGCTGGGCTTGGGAAAAACAGCAGTGAAGTAGCAGAATTGCCTGTGGTCCGTTCACAGACAGCAGAGCCGTGGCTGGAGAAGGGCAGTCCCTGTATTGATTCCGTAAGGGTCTGGCTCAGGCCGTGGAGCGCTTCCCGAGGAAAGCTTAGAGGGTCCACGGTCACCAGGCGTCCATTCAGAATTCCACGGTGCGGGCCTCGTTTTGGTCCAGGAAAAAGAACATGCACGCATGCACATTATTAGAGTACGTGAGCAAGGTTGCAAAATCACCTAAAGCTCCCATTGGCTTCTGGCATATTTATGGAAAGAATCATAAAAGTGGTTTAGTAATTGATCTTCTTGTGAAACATTTACTGGTATATGACCCAAAAACAATGGGTATCTGGGAATGGGGATAAAGGAATCTCTTTTTTATTCATTTTCTCAAGTTTTAATGTTACCTGTAAATTGGTCCAAACAGTCTAAGTTTCCCTCTTTTTCTTTTCTCATTCCCTATCAATTTATCAGTCTTATATATGGCTTTGGATTATAGAGTGATTTTGAACATCAGAGTTCTACCTCATATTTGGAAATTAAAATTACGGTGAAGCCAGAAAGCACAGCGAACAAAGGGCTGCTTTGGGCATGGAGCTAGAGGAGGGTACACACACTGCGGCCCTCCTTCTCTGCCCCTTTTTGTCCTGTCCCCTGTCCCTGTGTTCCCCTGTCCATGACCAAAATGTGCCCAGACGCCGCCCCGTCGGTGTGTGAGATGTTAGCCACACCTCTGCAGGGCTACGGAGGAAGTTTTCCCTGTAAGAGTAGGGGACCGGCCTTTAGCCAGCACCTCTGCGGGGGCGGGAGGGGCAGTGAGGAGGGAGATGCCTGGTGGCGGCAAGCTGGCGAGAAGAGGTGGAGGCCGAAGTGGCTTCTTGGGAACTTCTCTTTTTAGAAGTCAAGTCTTACATCCTGATTTCAGCCGTTCAGCTTTGGTGTGGGGTTAAGGAGCTCAAAGCAAAGATAGGTGGAATGTACCAAGTCAGATGGGGCACAGAGGTCCCCACGCAAATGTTCACACCCAGTCCTTTTCAGCCCCCCGCCCAGGCAGCTACTTGGCACGTCTGGAGTTCTTCAGTCAGGTGGCACCGTGGATGTATCTGGGTGCGACATGGTCTCCCTTTGCCCTGGGATTTACAAAAGGGATGGAAGCAGCATGAACCCCAAAGTTGCACCTCTAGATGTTACGACTGAAACATTTCCCAAGCCACAAAACCCTGCCCACTTTTTATTTTCATTGTTCATAATGCAACTAATACTAGTCTTTTTAAAAACCAGAATTATAAAAATGTAAAGAACAATGCTGCCTCTACCTCCCCCATGAAGTGTGGGCCAAGTTTGTTGTGTATTCTTTCAGCTCTTGCATGGTATTTAATCCTCAGACCCATTCTGAACTGGGGGTGCTAGGGGGCAGCGAAGGTTGCAGAAGGCTCTCGAGGGGTCCTCGTGCCCGGGTCTGAAAGGCCCGGGTGGCCAGCCAGGAGCCATTTGATTCCTGTCTTCCAGGAGCCACTTTTCTGTTAGTTGGGAGATATGTTGCGCGTGTAACCCCTGCTGTCTGAGGCCTGCAGCACCTACGGGGAGGGCGGGCTTTTGGTTCGGACGGCAAGCTCAGGGAAGTTCAGGGAAGAAAGAGAGGGCACTGAAGGTGAGCGTGGGCAAGAAAAGCGTGAGACTCAAAGGGCAAACATGGAAAGAATAAGGAGAATGTGGATGAAAATAGCTGAGAAGGGAAGCTATTCCAGGGCTGGCTGGAGGAGACATGTTGTGACATGGAGGTCATAGGCGATGTCTCTTCCAGGCCCTACTAAAAACTGAGACAAACTTGAAGCATTTGTACCCTCATACCCAGGAAACACCCTGCCATTGCCGCGTGGGCTAGAGTGAGAGAGGCCAGCTGCTGGGCAGCCCCCCACCACACCCTGCCCACACCGCGCCCCTTGGGCCGCCTGACTGACTGTGTGTGTGTGTCCACATCTCTTACGCTCCTGGGTCCGAGGATGAAGGCTGTCCCCGGCCAGGGTTACCATTATTAACAGTGACGGTAACAGCTGACGTTTTTGGGTTGTTTACTATGTCCCAGGCCCTTTATGTACATGAACGTAGTTAATTTTCAAAACCCTCTGAGTAGATTCTATGGTTAGTCAGGTGAGACAGGTAGAGAAATTGAGACATGAGAGGTGAAGTGACTTGTCCACAGCCACACTGATAAATGATTGGAACTGGAACCACCAGTACCTGGAAGAGCATCACCATCGATCGCTTCCAGATATAGCCTGCTGCCTGCCCTCAGGGGTGGATCCTAGGAGGGCCAGCCCCTTGGTCAACGAGCCCAAACCAGAAAGCAGAATCAGCACTTTCTCTCCTGTTGGGCAGCCCTGAACCAGCCCTGAGATGCGGAAATGACCTTTCACCACATGTTAGAAAATTGAACTGTGGTTACTGACCATTAGGCTGGGGAGAGGTGGGTTGCTGTCCCAGCCTCCGCCTCCAGCCCGCCTCAGGGCACTGCTACCCTCTAATATAGTCAGCGGTGAGCTCGCACTGCAGTATGTTCTGTGTGAATGGCATGCACTCTGTGTAAATGGCATGTGCTCTGTGGATTGTGTGTTTGCAGGGCCCTTTGCCTAATACGTGCGGTCACTTTTGGGAGATGGTCTGGGAGCAGAAAAGCCGGGGCGTGGTCATGCTCAACAGAGTGATGGAGAAAGGATCGGTAAGTTGCATATTTATCTCCTCTAATATCCCTGTCTGCCTGGGTGTCAGTCTGCAACGGGCGCAGTTTGCCTAAGTTTGTTTCTTGAATTATCTTTTTTATTTAAAAAATTTGAAGAGGCATTCCATAAATACATGTTTATGTAAGCAAGTCAGATAAGTAAGTGAATTAAAGAAGGACTAAGGTAAAATTGCCCTGTCCCCCCACACCCCCCGTCAGTGAGCCCCTCTCCATGGTTCGATGCGTGAGTTCCGAGTTCCGCGGCCCCCTCCCCTGCGGCCCCTGCGCAGCTGCCGGTGCGTCATGGAGATGCGGGAGCATCGTTTTATCCTGAAAGGCTGGAGTCATCTGTATCTTCCTATTAGCTCCTCTGGCTGTGGGAGCGGCAGGACTCGGATTTGCCTCCGTAAAATCCCAGCCGCTTGGCTTCTGGCTCCACTCTTCAGTGTGGATGTTGCCTGCTTCTGCATTTACTTCAGGATCTGTGTCGCCCTTGCTTCCGAGGTCTTTGCAGCTCTTAAAACATCTCTCAGGATAGCACATGGCCTAGAGGGGTGTGTCTGTCCAGGCCGTCGCCCCCTGTGCAGCTGTCTCTTGGCCACACTCACCCCCCGCCTTCTGACTTGCCCCCCTCTGCCTTTTCTGACCTGCACCCAGAATGACTTTTCTAAACCCAGCCCACCACGCCTCTTCCCCGCTGAAAACCCTTCCGGGGCTCAGAGGTGAGGCCCCAGGAGAAGGCGAGCTGAGGACTCTAGAGGCCGGTGTGAATGGTGCTCAGGGGCAGGAAGCCAGTGCGCCCGGCCTGGCCAGGAACCGGCGCTGCGCTCCCAGCTGCCTGGCGCCGTGGGGCGCAGGTGCGGCTTGCCAGAACGGGCGGGCTCCGGAGAAGCCCTCCTCCAAAGAGAGCACAGTCATGGCTCTAGAGGGTAGAAACACAGTGCATGGAAGGAACACATCAAAGGGAGCTTGAGCGGTGCGAACGGGAGGCGTTCACCACAGAGCCTCTCTGCCCCCCAAGAGAAACAGTCTCGGTTACTCAGAGCAGACAGTCCTCTCACCACAGCGCATGTTTAAAACCATGTATTCTGCCTTTGTCCGCTGTTCTTGAAGGAAAGTATGTATTTGCTCAGTAATAATGAAGTGCATACCTGAGTGTTGACAGTGATGAAATAATGCTGCTTGTCTTAGAAAAAAAATTTCTTCAGTGAAAGTAATTCTTAATTTTTTCCTGCTTCAGTGGCTTGATTAGTAAAATGTGAAGTTGCATATGTGAAGCAAACCCCCACCTATCACCGCTCCTGTCAGCAATTTTGAATAAAGAAACAAAACATTAGGTTTCCATAGCATACACTCCGCAAGGGAAAGTGAAACGCGGCAGCCGCTGCGGGCCCTCCACGCGGATCAGCCCACGGGGGCTCAGCCCGCGAGATGCATCCCCGCTCCCAGCTGTGGCAACCAGAAGTTGCCATGTGCCCTTAGGTTGGAATTGTCCCTGGTTGACTGTTCTAGATGATGTTAAGGGTTGGGGATTTTAAATCAAGACTTATTTATTCAAAATCATCAGATCTGGTAGTGTTTGTTTTTTACTTAGTTGTTGCTAAAAGTTCTGGTAACACGTCTTTGTTGCTTGCACATGGTTTGCTTCAGCCGCTCTCGTCACAGTGCAACTGGGACACTGCTCGTATGGGTTTGTCACCAGGCCTTGCTCTTGGTCGTGTCCCACCCAAGGCCAAGGCTGACCGTAAATGGAGCGTAGATCCACTGCAAACAACATTTCCCCTTGGGTTGCTATGTTGGCCATCACGAAAACACGACGGGTTGGTTTTGTTGTAGTTACTGTGATAATGTGACAGTAGTCCCTATTTTTCTTTATAACTGTTCTTTTTACTCAGGGTCATTTGGGCATGAAAGTTGGCATGAAAAGCAACATAAGATTTGACATTTCAATGCAGCATCAACATTATCACCCCCATGGGGCTGACTGGGAAAAATCATAAGAAGAAACAATGTCTTACTTGCTCAACTAATCTAATTTTAAACTGTCCTCACAGCCCGTGGTAAAACCAGCTTGCAGAGTGTTTCCAACTAATGTATATTTGTTTTCTGGTTTCCTTCCTTCACCAAACAGTGTAGGATATGCTCTTCTTATTTTTGGCAAACCTGCCTGTTGTCCTGTTGGGACCCCATGCTTCCCGGGAAAGAGTGTGCAGAAAATGATTGTTTGTGTTAGACTGTGGTCATCCAAATGGCCCAAGTTCTTGGTGGTTTGATTTCAGCGTTGACTTTGGGAGTGCCATTTTGGAATGCGTTATATATGTAAGGACTGAGGTTGTCGTTTAGGCAGGGGAAATAAACACGGCAAGATTAGCTCGCTCTTCCAGGAGTATGATCTCTGTCTCCTAAAATCCCTACTGAAGATGCTGTTCGATATCAGGTGCTTCTGTGCCGCCTCTACCTCTCGTACAGTGCCTCGTCCTCTGTGTTCACCATTCTTTGGGAAAGCCAAATCGCCTGTCACAGGGTCACCCCACTGCCTTGCGTGGGTCCCCCTTCAGATCGCCTAGCTGCCAGTTACAGAAGGTCCCGAGAACTCTCCCTCTCACGTCGGCCACATGGCTGCTCCGCGCTGACCCAAGGCGCGCCTCGGTTTGAATCCTGGTGAAGGACTGCTTTCCAGTTAACTCTCCTTTTCAGGTCAGTGTGTATCCATTTAACAGGATGACAGGAAGCAGTGAGCTTGTGCTTTATTGTTGTTGGTTTTATTTTGTGTGTTTAAAACAAAAATTTCTACAGGAAATGACAGAGCGGAGTGTGGCATGTTACTATAGATGCCTAAGAGTTCTCAGAAATAAACCTCAGTTGCCTGATACTTAGTGTTACCAGAATTCCTCAGTTGCAGAGTTCCAGGGTCTTGGTTTTTACCCAGGCTGCAGAGATTTATTAGGCTTTATATTTGATTTTGGAAGGGACTGCTTGCTCTGTGGAGGTAGGATTTAAAAATTCATCTGCCCCACCTCTGAGACATGAAAACATTGGCCTCTTCTTTGGTGGCCACTGGCTGTTCTGTGTCTCTTCTTCTTTGCCCTGTTCTCACTCCGCTGGCCGCTTTGGGGCCACACACGTGGCTTTGAACCTACCCTGCAGTCTTTGTTTCTGGGGTCTCCAGGAATTGCACAGGTCTAATTCTTTGAAGTCTGGGGATAGATGCGTTCTTTAAAGGTCTTCTAAAGCCTTGTTTTCAGCTGCCCGCCTCCTTCGGCTAAGCAAGGGGGCTTGCTGTGTCATTGATGCCTCTGTGTCCTCGGTGGCAGAATTGCCTTGATGCGGACAGATTGGCCCCATCCCAGGGGTTCATTCGTCTTTGGCAGCTCATCACCAGTGTGTGGAGGGAGGTGACATGGGTAGAACTGGCCAAGACTTTCAACCAGGCCTGTGTGCAGGCTCTTCAGAAAGCCCATGTGGCCTTCTGCTTGGGGACCGTGGAGTTTGATGTGTTGGCGTCACATGCTTGTGTGTTTGTTTCACATGGTTTGTTTCTGTTTTTGTTTTGGGTAGAATGCACATTCAGCAGGACAGGCCTGACACGTGTTTGTGGTTCTGTGTTCACCCCGTCACGAGCCTCCTGGCCCCTCCCCGCCCAAGTGGCACCACAGGTTTCCGGGCTGCTGCCAAGTCCTTGGGTCTGGGTCTCCATCGGCCCCATCTCCCACTGCTGCCCTGAGACTGCTTTGTAGGCAGTGCCTAGGGAATGGTAGCCGTCCTTCCCAATACGCTCTGTCCAAGCCTGCTTCTTCCATTGCGCCTTCTCTGATCTCTTTCCCGTAACTCCAGCCAGCCCGGAACATTTACCTCCTCTGAATTCCCATGGCACATCCCCAGTTTCCTCCGCAGCACTTCCCTCAGGCCACCTTGTCATTGCCAGGCATGAGCAATCTGTCCTGACAGACAGTTGGCCCTGGAGGGACTCCCACCACTTACTGTGGCATTTCAGACACAATCATCCTTTGCCTCAGAGGTATCGAGTGGGCGAGTGCATGTTGAGTCACAAGTGTCCTGAATATGTACCATTTCCCAAAGAGCTATTTACACACACTGGTGTTCCATTTGATGGAAGCGTAGCACCTTTGAGGTTCCCTCTGTCTCGGCGTATTGTCAGTCCTTCTGGCTCATAGATCTTGCAGCTTAGCCCCCATCCACCAGCTGTTTTTGTCCAGAACAGTTATTAGCAAGCAGAAATGGTAGGTAACTGGCGTAGAAATTTAGCTCAAGCAAAGTATGCCATAAAATCTGAGTCACTCTTATTTTTAAATAAATGAAACCAAATCTTTGGGAGCTTGTTTGCTTTAGAGAAAAAGTTAATGTTACCTTTAAATCAAGCCCATCAAGTGGTTCTTAAATTATTAAACTATAACATCGAAAGTGCTTTTCTGCACTGAACCAAACCAGAATGAAAGGGCGAGGCGGGGCAGTGGGCGATCGCGAGCCTTGGAGGAGCCCCTCTCCAAGCCTCTGCTAAATGGCTTTCGCTCCGTAACAGCCCTTCAGCCTTCCAGAGCGTTTCACACGGAGCCTCTTCCAGCCGTGTTTTTCATTAGCCTGTTATTTTCCCCAGGCCAGAGCATCTTCACTATGCCAACAACACTGATCAGATCCTTGGCAGTCTTTGAAATGGCTACCTGAAGTGCTTTGTGGGAGACTGAACCTTGTGTGCGCTATGGCCTCCCCTTGCAGGCGGTAGAGACCGAAAGGATCTGACCCCTGAAGCACCTCGTTGTGTAGGTTACTAGAGAGCTGCTGGGTTTGGGAGTCTGTTCCCTGCCCGCACAGCCAGCCCTGGCCACCTCTCCACAGACTCCCCGTCTCCCCAGAGGAAAGGCCGGTTATGCAGACAGTGACTTCCCAGGTCAGAAACACTCGGGCCTTTGGGTTATCATAAAGCTCACTGAAGGGACTCTGAACCCTCTGTCGTAGGAACATAGTCCGTTGCTCACAGTAATTCAGTGTTATTTTCTCCCCTAGTTAAAATGTGCGCAGTATTGGCCACAAAAAGAAGAAAAGGAAATGATTTTCGAAGACACAAATTTGAAATTAACATTGATCTCTGAAGATATTAAGTCATATTATACAGTACGACAACTAGAGTTGGAAAACCTTATGGTGAGTATGGCGTGTGCTTCAGTACTCCAGGCGGTTAGTCGTTGAGTTGCCTTGTCCTTTGAGTGGTATTACCTAAGGCCAATTTTTGTGGATTTTGTGTACCCTGAGCAAAACATGGCTTTGGCACTATGGTGCGCAGAGCTTACCTGCGTACTTACCAGGTGAGCAAGGGTACCCCAGGGCCCAGGGGAGGGGGTCTTAGGTACCTCCTTTCCCACAGAGCTCTCTCTCCCTAAACTTTAACACTAGGGAGCACTGGTTCTCGGGAGAAGGGAGTTTCTTATCTAAAACATACCCATTCTTGTCTTTGCACCTGCAGCGGGAGTGAAGGGGCTGCCTGCAGGTTAAACCCCAGCGGAGCGCGCTGCCTCCTTCCGCAGTCGGCAGCCTCTCTCTTCTGAAGCTGGGGAGGAGGGGCCCTGCGGGGCTAAGCCCACCTCATAGCCAGTGTCAGGTTCCTGGGTAAGGCCTGGGGCCTATTGGGTGTGGGAAGAACCATTAACACCGGCTGCTGGCCGCTGTTGAAAGAGGGTGCTGGAACACGGCAAAGTTCTGTGCTGCGGGACAGCGCCCCCACAGGCCCTGGCCCCGGGGTTCAGACTCGGTCATCGGGCTGCGTCTCTGAGGAGCCCGTAGCTCAAGGCAGCCCCTGGGCTCACCCTCAGTCCTGGTGGCCAGCCGCCGCCCTCTGGAACTAGAGTCGCTGGCCCACCACATCAGACTGTCAGCCTGTGGGCAGGGGGCGCTCGGCTCACCGTGTCTGTGTCCTCTTCCGCTGGTTTGGAGGCGCTGATATGTGTGAAGCGTTAGAGCGGCACCAGGCCCAGCACGCGCGCTCAGGAAGCACTCGCAATGCTGTGGGGTGGAAGCCGCCCAGGACTATTCAAGGGGCAGTAGGGGTGACCAGTCTGAAGCAAGGGGGCGGGGGCTGTCACGTGGGTTGGGCTGGTGGGGCGGGGCGGGGTGGAAGAGGTAGGGTTTGCTTTGGAGTTACAATCACCGCAGAGGTGCTTTACGGTCACCACGACTCCCGCTGTTGAATGGACCGTGGCCGTCAGATCTAGCGCTCTGCATGGGTTACGGCGACACAGAGAACAAGTTAACATCTCGTGGCTTTTGAGGAATGCAGCTTATCTGGGTGCTCTCTCCTCCCTCTCCGATAGTGCCAGCGGGAGCCCAGCTGCGGCTGTGCACTGGGGCTCAAAGGGAGTGATTTATGGAGGGGCTGGAGGGAGGGTTTTCAGGAATAATGTTGGCAGCGGGCTGGAATGTGCCTGGAGGATTATGTAGTAGACTTTTTTAAATGCTTTTTAGCATTTGCGAGCCTGACATACAAAGAGTGACTTCTGGTAAACTCCTGAGAATATGTCTCCTGCTCACTGAGGGAAGCAGAACCGGACGCAGTGGAAGAGGCCTGTACCGAAGGTGCAGACGCAGCTTGCTCCGAGGCCTGGCCGTGGCCAGGGGCCTGTTTGCTGGGGCCCAGAGCGGGTGTCTTGGGGAGAGGTGGGCTAAGTGAAGAGGGAGGGTGTAAACAAGAGGTGATCCCACCGTCTTCAGGATTGAAAGAGAAAACTTTGTTTTTAAAATGTATCTTTAAGTGTTTTTTTCCCCCCTAAAAAATAGAAGAGGCATTTCTCTTTTTAAGCCATTAAAGTATTAGGAGATCATTTTCCAGGGAGGAAAGAATGGGATTGCTTGGTAAGATTCTAGAAATGACCGTAATGTCAGGGGGAGATTTCTCCCAGTTCTGCAGAAAGATACTGGTGTACATTCCAGCTGGCGCAGGGCTGAATGGGGGTCGTCTTTCTGATTTTAGGTCATTGGTGTTCATTGTGGTCCGTTCTCATGTTTTCATCACACGAGGGTTGGGGGAAGTTGCTATAACTCAGCTGGAAGCTCTGGGAGGGCAAGGGTGGTGTCTTGACCTTGTTCCTGGCATGGTGGCTGACACATGGTAGACACCTTGTGGACATTTGCCGAATGGAGGAAGACGGAGTTGGTAAGCAGGTCTCTGGCCCAAAGCCTTCCTCCATCAGCTGCTTGCCAGGCGACCTAGGCACTGCCATGGCCCTTGGCTCCACTGAGCAGGAGGCCCTCGAGGCTGGCGAGGTTCCTTTAAACCGCCATGTGCCCACCTTAGCAAGGCCTGCAGGCGCTGCTCACCCGATACCTGCTTCCCGTTTACTGTGTGCTCTCAGCTTGGGAAAGCTCTTGAGCTCTCTCTTGCCTGTGGGAACCGCACTTGGATCTTTGCTCCTGGGGCCAGCTGCCCACGCCGCGAGGGGGCTCTCTCAGGCTCAGAGGAAGGGCGGCACCAGACGCCGTTCCTCCCAGGAGCAGACTGGGCCGGGGGAGAAATGCTGGGGACACGTGCCAGGGCCCCCCTTCAAGAGCGACTGCCACAGGCCCTGAACACGGCCTCTGGACTCAGGCAAACCTAGACTGGAATTCCTGCTCCCCCACTGACTGGAGGGCTGGCCTCCGAGCCTCCGTCCCCTAATCCAGAAAATGGGAATAATGAGGATGCATGCCTAGAAGGGGTGGTGTGGGAACTCAGTGAGCTAATGTGCCTGGTTACCTTTTCCTCTAAATTGACCGTCCTCTGGGATGTCCAGATAGTCTTGAGAAGCCCTGAGTTACCCAGAGCTGATGCCACATCCACGCAGTTTACAGTTTCACCCTGTCATGTGAAACCTTGTGTGGTTCTATGACACGGTTATCATGGGTGGCAGTGCAGCATCATTGTGGGGCAGAGAAGTCCGTTGTAACCATGAAGACAACAGAGGGGAGGGGGACATTGGAGAAAAGAGGTGGGCAAGCTGTTCCATCCTGAAGGAAGTGAAGTCAAAGCAGGAGCAGCTGGTGGCCCAGCGCGGAGCACGGGGCCTGGTGCCGCAGGGCTTGTCACTTGCAGGCTTGTCACTTGCAGGCGGCCGTAGGGGCGCACGGCCCGTGGGAGAAAACCGGAGAGCTCAAGCTGTTCTGGGAGTGCATGGGTGGGAAAGCACTTGGTGCTTACTTAGAATTTGTGATTTCTGTACAGATAATTCTCTTAGAATCGTCATGAGTATTTTTCTCTTTAGACTAAAGAAACTCGAGAGATCCTGCATTTCCATTATACTACATGGCCCGACTTCGGAGTTCCCGAATCGCCAGCCTCATTCCTGAACTTTCTTTTCAAAGTCCGCGAGTCGGGCTCACTCAGCACGGAGCACGGCCCCGTCGTGGTGCACTGCAGCGCCGGCATTGGCAGGTCGGGGACCTTCTGTCTCGCCGACACCTGTCTCTTGCTGGTAAGGAGGTCCTGGAAGACCCGGGGAAGAGAAGGGACCGCGTGTAAACTTCCTCTCTGGCCTGGCCGCAGCTTCCCTGAGATTGTCCCCACAGTAAATGACCTTTGATCTGTCCTTTCAAAAAACTTCCCTTCCATAAAAACAGGCTCACCCTCAATTACTTGGTTAGGAGGGATGGTCTTAATTTTAAAGTGAAATCCAGAGAGATCCAAAAAATCCCCTTGTCTTTCGTTTTTCCCAGGCGCTCACACGGTCCCGATTTTGCTGCAGCAGCTCACATTTTCCAGAACTCTGCCTTCCCTGCTGCAGTTGTTTCCTGGGTGGGCACCGCGGAGTCGGGGCTGGCTCAGTTGTGTCTCCTCTCTGGCTTTCAGATGGACAAAAGGAAAGACCCTTCTTCTGTTGATATCAAGAAAGTTCTGTTAGAAATGAGGAAATTTCGGATGGGACTGATCCAGACAGCAGACCAGCTCCGTTTCTCCTACCTGGCTGTGATCGAAGGTGCCAAATACATCATGGGAGACTCCTCAGTTCAGGTCAGCATTGCGTGCGCTTTTCCTCCGGGCGCGCCGAGTTCCGGTTTTTGTCTCTGAAGAAGGTCGCTGTCTGCTATACAAATTCAAACACTATCATGCACCAGAGCACAGAACAAATAGCCGCCCTTTGTGTTTAGTTAGAAAGTTGTGGCAGTTCTCACTGGGTCCTAGTTCCTGCCTTTGAAGAGCACACCTGGCGAACGTAATAGGGAGAATAGTTTATTTTCAAGATTGCAGCTGCGGCGATACATCTGGGGGCCCGAGGAGCGGAGAGGCCCTCGCTGAGCCGGCAGCCCTGCCCCCGAGGAGGGCCCAGGCGTCCTGGCAGAGCGGTCGGGCGCGGGCTCTGATGCGGCTCCTCTCGCTGCTCTTTCCAGGAGCAGTGGAAGGAGCTCTCCCACGAGGACTTGGAGCCCCTGCCTGAGCACGTCCCCCCGCCTCCCCGGCCACCCAAACGCATCCTGGAGCCACACAATGGGAAGTGCAAGGAGTTCTTCCCCAACCACCAGTGGGTAAAGGATGAGTCCGAGGAGGATAAAGAAGACGGCCCGATCAAGGAAGAAAGCAGAACCCCCTTAGGAGCCCCCTGCAGCCTAGAAAGGTAACCTGAGAGGGTCCTGGCTTATTGGGGGTGAGGAGAAATGACCTGTTCAAGAGACACGTGTTGGTATTGAAACCCGCGGGTGCAGCCTCCTGATAGCACACAGTGCTTTTGTGTCGTGGGGAATGGGTCCCAGAGACCATCCCCCTCCTGCCCTGGCTGGCCGAGCCCAGGGTTTGCCCTGGGAAGTGACTGACTTCAGTGGGGCTCTAGCACCACCTTGTGGCGCTCGCTGGAATCAGGAGTTCAGAGCCCTGGGAGTCTTCCTGCCCAGTGACAGCAGTGTCTCCCTCAGGCTCCTGGCCTGTCCAGAAATGGAATGTCCAGGCTTGACCTTGTAACTGCAGCCCCCAAAATGGTCTTTGGGAACTTAGCCTTTCATTTAGTCATGACCAAGTAGATTGCTATTTTGCTTCCTTAGAATTTAACAAAGATTATCAGGAACCTATGGAAACATGTTAAATACTGAGATAACTAGATATATTGCTCCTGGTCTGTGTTCCAGACCCTGTTGGGAAGGGGAAGTAGATTGTAGTGGGAGCCTGTGGTCAGTGATGTGATGGAGGTACATGCTGAGGTGGTCGGCCTTACGGAGGAGCCTCTAAGCCCTCCCTGGGAGGTCCAAGAAGGCTGCCTACAAGAGGTGGCACTGTGTGGAAGCTTGAAGAGTGACGGGGAGTTAGTTCCAGGCTGAGACTGTGGAGGCAGTGTACCTGCTATTTGGAGGGCAGTTGAAAATGAGTGCACTTTTTTTGTTTTTTTAAGATTTTATTTATTTTTAGAGGCAGGGAAGAGAGGGAGAGAAACATCAGTGTGTGGGTGCCTCTCACGCGCCCCCTACTGGGGACTTGGCCTGCAACCCAGGCATGGGCCCTGACTGGGAATTGAACAGGTGACCCTTCGGTTTGCAGACTGGCGCTCAGTCCACTGAGCCACACCAGTCAGGGCAATGAGTGCACATTTCGACCCAGTATTTGTATGTATCTAGAAAATTAGCCTATATGGCATTTCTCAGACGTGTGCAGAGAGATGTATAGGGAGAGATGTTTTGTTGTAGCATCATTTGTAGTGGTGAGAAATTAGAGATGATTGTATACCCAGGGGTTAGGTAAACCCTGCTTCCTCCTCATGCCGGGATGCTCTGCAGCTGTTGGAGAACGGGGCCTGGCTGTGTTGGTGTTGCCGGACGTTGGAGGGGTGGCATGCGAGACAGCCAGTTACACTATTGGCCACAAGGGGTCCTCGGGTTAAACTGACCATCAGCTTCTTGCCCAGGCACCTTGCTAAAGGCTGAGTGCCTGGCCCCAGTTCTGATTCATGAACCTGAGTCCCCAGGGCTCTTCGTGCAACTGGTCCTTATCACAGAAACGCCAGGCCAGTCCCAGAGAGGAACTTGTCCAGCGGGGCCCCTGGCGCAGGCGCCGTGTGATGTGCTAGCAACAGCTCATTGGCTGTCCCTCAGTGACCCTGGGCCCAGCTTCCCGGGGCCTCTGGTGACGTTCTCAGGGTAGGTCGGCGTGTTCCATCTGAGGGCTCACAGTGGGCCAAGGCTGAGAGACACAGGCTGCAAGTGACTTCTGTCTCATTCATGTCATGTGTTCTGTTTTCTTTATTCACTGAGAGTTGTGGCGAGAGCAGTGCCTTTCGTACTGCACGTGAAGGCGGTGTGCACGGAGGTGTGTGTCTGGGAAGCTAGAAGCCAGGGAGCTCCAGGAAAAATGGAGTTGTACCAAGGACGCAAGTGCCGCCGGGCACCGGGGGAGCCCACGTGCCCATAGCACTCAGCGCAGCGGCCCGGGCCTGGCAGGGTGGGCGCTGGAAACCAAGCACTTCCTGCGGCCTCCCCTGTCTCCCGGGCAGCGGTACCTCAGGCGAGTGTGCCCCTGTGGGCTGCGCGTGGGCCCATGAGCCTCTGCTGGCCTCTCCTGTGATGGCCCTGGAGCAGGAACACTGCACGTTGTCCCCCCGGATCCCTCTAGCTTGCCACCATGATGGTGGCCCACCGACTGCGCCCACGGCGCCCAAGAAAGGGCCCTCCTGGCCGGATCAGATAGGGGTGGGGATTCGGTCTGGGGGTCAGTGGGATGTGTGGTGTCTGCGCGTCAGCAGTGACGAAGGTCCTGTGGATCAGCATCTGTCGAGGTGGCAGGGGAGGGTGTAGAGACACGCGGGCCGCGCCGTCACCCTCTCTGATCCGAAGGGGACCATTGTACAGCAGACCCCAGGGCAAAGGTTGCACCTGTCTTCACACCAGCGGCTGTATTTCTCCTCGAGCCCTTACCCACCCTCCCTCACTAAGGAGTCCACGGGCCTCCGGATCCCTACCCTTCCTGGCTGTGAGGGCCACCTGGATCCCTACGGGGAGGCGGTGATAAGTGGGCGTCCGACCAGTGTCGGCAGCACCGAACTATTTACATGCGGCCCCTTTTTTCCCAGAATTCCCCTCATAACAGCACCTTGGCCATTGCTCCCCTCAGAGCGAGTAACCCACTTCTGCGCTCTCATTCCTCAGCACGAGTCAAGACACTGAAGTCAGAAGGCGGGTCGCTGGGGCAGGTCCTACCCAAGGGGAGCCGTCGCCATCTACGGAGGAGCAGGACCAGGCGCTGACTCACTGGAAGCCCTTCCTGGTCAACATGTGCATGGCCACGGTCCTCACGGCCGGCGCGTACCTCTGCTACAGGGTATGTTTTCACTGACGGACGTGCTGGCAAGACCGCGTGTACAGAGAGCCCTGGCCGGCAGCCTGGCCTTAGCAGTCAGTGCTGTGGAAGGGCCTGAGCCAGTCCCAGAAGGAACAGATCAAAGGTTTTAAAGTCTGGAACTGTGAAGGGCTAACAAGAGAGAATTGAGGATTGATGCACTGGGGTTTTAAGGAGCCCTGTGGTCCCAAGAATACAAGCATCTAATCTCAGGGCCTTAACCTATTCAGGAGTAAGTAGAGAAAATGCCAAATACATCTCTCTCTCTCTCTTTTTCTTTTTTTTTTTGTTTTTGTTTATTTGTTTTTGAAAAAATACAATTACAACACATTGTTGTTTTTAACCTTTGTAAAAAGCAGCTTTTTGTTACTTCTGGGGGAAAAAAAAGACTAGGCACTTATGGAACTTTCTTGTACCCTTAGGGGATGTAACCCAATACACAATTTCTATTTGATTTCCCAGGGAAAGACTCCCCCTCTCTGAGGAATGCGGAGTCCCCTGGAGGAGAGGGCGTGAGGGTTTAGGGCTGTGTCTTGCCCAGTCACTTCCTCTGCTGTGCGTACACTGAGCTTGGGAAGTTCCTGCCAGCTTTCCCATTTTAAGAAGAAAAAAACCGCAAAAGGCCATCTCTAGAAAAGAAGACCCGGCTGTGCTTTTGCTCAGGGTGTCCCCACCGGTTTTCCATGGTTCACTTCTCCATCGATCCCTTCTTGTCGCAGCCATCTTGCCGTGTCCTGCCCTCAGCAGCCCATCCTCCAAAACAGGGCTCCTCGAGGCCCCTGCCTCAGGGTCAGAGGTCACCCTTTTCACCCTGCCATTGAGATCGAGAAGGAGCAGTTTCCATTTGATTTGAAGTATAAATGCATTTCAGTAGAAACCCACCCCTGAGAAGTGTGTTGCTGTTAAAATAAGGAGAAGGGACTCAGTGAGCTTTAAAACTGTGGTTGTGGAAATCACCTCACAAGACTTTCTTTATTGTTTTAAAGTTTGCCATCTTTGAGTGCATCAGATGGTTTAGCAACACAGTTTTATCCTTAGGGGTGATTTCTGGAAGAGGTGGGGGCTATTGTTAAAAAAAAGAAAAAACCCACCAAAGCCCCTTTCACGGGCATGTCTGGGGGAGGGGCTGGGGTAGCCGGGCTACTGCCCAGCCTGCAGCTCCGCGGGGTGGGCTAGGGCTCAGCTGAAAATGTTGGTTTCATTCCAGTTCCTGTTCAACAGCAACACATGATCGGACCCACCTCCACCCCTCTGCCAGCCTCCGCCCACAGAGCCCGCACCCGACTAGCAGGCAAGCCGTGGGACGTAAGGGCCGCCGCGCCACCCGACCAGGCCGGGCCCCCCCCTCCCCCGCCCCCCAGCTGCTGGGCTGCTCCTTTTTCTCTTGCTTCCCCCCCCCGACTGCTCCTTTAAGTACCAAATCCACAACCCATTTTTTGAGGAGAGCAGAAGAGAGTGCCGTGCCGGCGGCACCGAGGACAGGTGGCCTGTGCAAGCCCAGGCGGCGGCACACAGCACTGCCCGGCAGACTCGGCGGAGACCATGTGCCAGGAGCCTCTCCGCTCCATGTTTATTTATTTTTTTCTTTTTCCCTTTTCCCCCCAGAGGCATCCTTAGTGCACTAGCATTTTCTGAAACCAATAATGTATTAAAAGTTTTTTGATGTCAGCCTTGCATCAAAGGCTTTCTCAAAAAATACAGTAATAAACCCTCAGGTAGTGCTGGGAACCTAGGACTCTGCAGCGAGCGTGCTGCGTCAGACCAGCACTAGGAAGACGGACGGCTGTGAGCAGTGGGTATTTCGTGGCGCTGTGGGTAACGTGAGAGGAGGTTTGGCGTGTGTTTAGAGCGCAGTGGGATGATTCATAACGAACACTTGGGTATCGCCACACGTGACGGGAGATGACTTTGTCCGGTTTTCCCCTCCCCAGTTTTACCTGCTAGAACCTGTTCTCAGTCACCACTTTCCCCCAGTGTGTATTAGAATGCATGTTCGGTCTTCTTGTGTCCTGATCAAATACCACGTGCTTGAAATACTTAGGTCTCTGCTTACTGAAGTGCCCTCGTGTGTACGTCCGGCCTACCCTTGCATGGTCAGATCATTATGGGCTGTGGCTCCTGAGACTGATGCTGAACTACTTGCTGTTCAGCACTGGAGGGATGTTTTCCAGTCACAGACACTTGCCTAATTCCTGGCATGACACTCTGGTGACTTCCTGGTGAGGCCTGGCCTGTCCTGGTCCAGCTGGGTCCCACTGTAACTCAGACATTCCAAGGGGATGGGAAGCCATAGTCACACCTCACGCTCTGGACATTTAGACAAGCAGGGTCCGCTGCTCACGCACCTTTGGGATCAGCCTCCACTATCCCAAGTTCACACTCTTCTTGAGAAGACTGTCATTTGGAACCAAGGCAACTGTTGGAAACCACACTTCTTGAAGCAACGTGGATGATGATGGTCCCTGGAGTCAGCCAGCTGCTGTCTCAGTCGGGAGGGCCTTGCTGAGCGAGGCGTCTGCCCCTGCCCTTGAACCCCGGGGACCGACGGTGCTCACGACTCTTCCTGCAAGGGGGACTTAAGACCTCCACATTAAGTGGCTTTTTTAACAAGAAAAAAGGCAGCTGTAGCTCCCGAGCTGCCCTTTTGCCAGCATTTTCACATTTTGCCTTTCACGTGTGAGAAGCCCGTGTAGCGAGATTCTGGGGTGGGATGCTAGAGGCAGAGCCCCACAGAGCCCGGGTGAGGTGTGGGTAAGGCCGAGGTGCCAGGCTGTAAGCATTTTTGAGTTGGGCTTGTTTGTTTGTTTTTGAAGTCCTGTATATGTATGTAGTAGTTTGGGTGTGTATATATAGTAGCATTTCAAAATGGATATACTGGTTTAATCTCCTATCCTTGGGAAGCAGATGGCTCGCCATCTTGTTACACGTATGTTAGAGAAGTAGCAAGCTGCTCTGCTATATGCCTTAAGCCAATATTTACTCAGCAGGTCATTATTTTTTACAATGGCCATGGAATAAACCATTTTTACAAAAATAAAAACAAACAAAAAAAGCGAGGTGTTTTGGTATAATACCTTTTCAGGTGTGTGTATACGTGGATGCATGACGGGGTGGGGAGGGGGGCGCGTCTCAGGGTCTTCTGTGACCTCACAGAACTGTCAAACTGTACAGTTTTCCAACTTGCCATATAAATGATGGGTTTGCATTTCAGTTGCAACAATAAAAAATTTTTTTTCTAAAGAACATGGATCGGGGTGCTTCCCATTTCTTTGCTCAGTGGGCCTAAACCAGGATGGGCGGCTTCTTTCCATCCCTGCGGACGCGAGGCAGCGTTGTCAAGCAAGGCGGTGAGTTTCCGCGTCTAAGAATCGCGGGGCCCCTGGAGTTGGCGCCTGCGGGCTGGGGCCCGGCCCCCCGGGGGGCCCCTGCACGCGCCCAACCACAGCCTGTCCCCGTCGATAACAGAACCCGCCTTCATGACGTACGGGGTGCGTAGAGAACGTAGCAGACCTCCACGAGCTGTTCGAAGGACGGTTCAGATCTCCAGAACATGCCCGCCTGTGAGGCACACGGTTGTAACTGCGCCTCAGCACCTCCGCATGGCTGCAGTCGGTGTGGAATTGACGGAGACATAGTAAGATGCACAAAATTCACGCAGCCTATGTGTAAATCTCCCCTAAAGCCATTTTGTGGCTTTAGTAAAGTTTTGAAATAATTTCAGACTTGCAAAATGTTGCAAAGAGAGGACAAAGAATTCCCTTATATCCTTCAGGGTTTTCCGACCGTTTCTAAGCTGGCCGCTGAGCGAGCTGCGCTTTGGCCTCCTGGCGGGATCCGTGGAGCTGGGAAGCACACACAGGCACGCTCGTGTGACCACACAACACCCAGAGGGGATGGGGGCCCGGGTGTTGTGGCCATGCCCACGGTCACGTCACTCTTCGTTTCACATACAGAAAAAAATAGCACCAGAGCTTTTATGAAGAGGTGGAATGCCAGTGTGGGGAAAAGGAAATGAGCGTGTGACTTTGGAACAGACTCAGACGCGACCAAAGGCCCCCGTGGTGCCTGGGGAGGGGAGGGCGCCCGGGAGCCGTCCAGAGCACGTGGCGCCCTTCTCACGCCCTCTGCTGTGGGAGAGCCGCTTCAGGGTCGCGCTGGTGAGGGTGTGCTAAGGGATAGCAGGGTGACTTTTCCCCCAGCAGGATGTTTGGGGAAACAACCACTATTTACTTTCTTCAGGTGAAGTGAAACACCAATATTGGTTACTTTTTTTTTTATTGAAATTTCAGGAAGTCGAACATGTAAACAAGGCAAATAAATACTAAGTTAAATCGAAAAACACAAAATATATACATGAAGCATGAATGAGGATGTTGAAGTTACGAAGCCCTTCAATGCCGCTGTTGACAGCCACATTCACACCTCAGCTTACGTCGACATTGTTAACAGAAACAGCTCAGGACACGCTCGTCTTTTTAATAGACTTAAATAGGAAACTTATTTTCTTCCTTTAAAGCAATATGTTCAGTGAAATCTTCACACCAGCTTCTGAAGCAATTTATTTAATAGGCCCATAGCTGACTTGCTTCAGAAGTTGGGTGTCAGTGTTTCGTGAGGTCAGAGTGAACGCTCTTCCTGACATCACACTCGAGGCTTCTGCTTTGCTTTGCGCTGTTGAACACGGTAAAAATGAGGTCCATGGGCAGCAGGCTGCCACCAGGCATTGGGGCCATAGCTCGAGTTAAGAGTTGAATCATGGGAAGCCTGGCTGTGTGCCCTCCCACCGTCCCCAGGTCACCTAGGTGACGGCTCCTGCCATGGAAATGATTCGACCCATCGCGCTCTTTCCTTAGCGAGCTCATAGGCCTTCTGGCCACCTTGGTCCCAGTCTTCGCTGAGCCCCAAGTGCTGAGCCAGCTGCCCTGCAAGGAGACAAGTTCACGTTCACCTTGGAGTCTTTCATTCTGGGCCTCGACCTGCGGGGCCTCGACTCCTTCGTGGCATGGCTGGCGCTGTGTCCTGGCGAAGACAGATTCTCAAAGCCGAACCCATGCCCTTGGCTTGGTCGAAGTGGGTCAGCCTGTGAAGTGCGGTACCTCACTTGGTTGTGCTCCTACACGGAAGCCCCACTTGTGCCCTGGGGCCTTGTAACTGATCAGGGACTCGGGGAGCGGCTGTCCGGCTGTGGACGGCGTACGCTGGAGGGGAGCGCACAGCATGCCCCATCCACAGCTCTGTCCCGTGTCGAGACCACAGCAGCAGAAACAGATGCCAGGTTTGAGTTCATCCGCTGAGGCTCTTTAAAATATTGTGATTTCAACATCTGCCTCCTGGCAAAAGGCTGCTTCTCTTTGTTCTGAGTAAAGTTTGTCCATCTTCTCAAAAGCGAAGCGCCCTTTTTCGCCTGCAATATTAAGGGCACTTGTCACTGGATTGTCCCCTGCCTGGGCGTTGCCTACTCTGGCAGGCCAAGGTGGCCTTGGCAATACCGACCCCTGGGTACTGCTGCGGAGGGCGGGGGCCGGGAGCGCTGGGGGGCTTCTCGCTGGCCGACTTGCACCCCCTCAGCATCTAAGGTGGAGTCATGCCCCGTGCACCTGCTTCCATTCTCAACAAAGGAGATAAAGCATTTTTTGCCACCTAACCCATGAAGAAAACCTGCCTTGGCCAAATGCAGTTAAACAGGTTGTTAACAGTGCCCATCCCGTGTGCTAATCCGTGTCTCCGAGAGCCTGCATGGCTGCTCTCGCACGCCCTTGCCAAGGACCCGGGAACCCCACTGCACGTGACGTTGGACGCTCCGTTACCGAAGGACAGCGTGGCCTCCCGGGCTGCCGCTCGCACGACCTCCAGGTCAGATTGGCACAGGCTGGCGATCTGATCGATGCTTTCGACGCCCTGCTTGGGAAGGGAGGATTTATTAGGAGACATTTTGAGTGGGAGGTAGGATCCACTTGTATAAGCCCTGCAGGCCCAGCCCTAGCATAGTCTCCGGGGTCTGAGTCCCTTTTCTGAAGGGGAGCTTATGTTGCCTCAGGCTCATCAGAAGCTCCACTGCAAATGTCTCCTCTTTTGTCCTGACGCCGCCAGCGAGCAGGCCACTAGCAATGATGTATGGGCAACCGAAAGGCCCATCCTGAAGTGGAAAGGCCTGTCTCCCTCTGGACCTTGCTGCCTCCTCCCTGCTCTCCCAAGCTGCCCCCACTCCAGGTTAGGCTAGGAGAGGAGCGGGCGGAGCCCCAGTTCAGGCCCCCCTGACCCCCAAGCTGCTCTGCAGGGCCAAGGACCAGGGTGCACTTCAGCACCCTTCACTGGACACCCTGAGCCTCTTACTGGTTATGTGACTGTAACCAAAGGGCCTCGACTTCCCTGGCATTTCATTCCAGAATCAATGGGGTGATTTAATCTGTGCAGGATCCCTTGTCATCTAGTAAATTGGCAATTATTTTTTAAAGTGAGGGTTCTAAGTGCAATGAGGTTGAAGCTTTATGCACAAAAACGCTCATAATGACATTGTTTTTAATAAAAATGATGAACCTAAATTTTCTACATGGAAAGAGTAGGGGAAAAGTTTAAATTAAGGTAAACCTGTGATAGATCCTTCATAAAGAATTGCAAAGTGCTACCAGTCAAACACAAAAGGTTATTATTTGTTCACTGGTTTTAAACTGCACAAAATTTTATTGATATTAAACTACCAATTTTCAGTGCTCTCACATACCCCAAAACAAGTAATATACCACAATGTCAGTAATTTAAGCGTCAGGATGGTGAATAATTTACATTTCTGTGTTTTACACTCTTTTTTTCTTTCCTACAACAAGCTTTTAGAAATTTTTTAAATTGCAGCTATTAAAGCACATAATCCAGGAGTCCAGAAGTGAGGGCCCGGGGCCGCCGCTGGCGGAGCCTCTGCCTGCCACCAGCTCGGTAAGCTCCTTTCTCGGTCTCACAGGGGGAAGATTTGGGAATGAACTAACTTGAACGTTAACCACAAGCAGCCTTGCCCATTGCCAGCGAGGACAGGTTGAACTCACCCTGAGATGTTTCAGCGCCATGCACGCAGCTCGCTGGAGTTTTGCGTCATCCTCGGTCAGGGCATTGGTGTAGAAAAGCAAAGCCTAGGAAAGAAGGCCGCTGTGAGTGAAAGGGGGGAGGGGGTGCCGAAAGCAAAGTCCACGGTGCTTGCGGCTGATCCTACAACTGCTGGCACTAAGTCAAGCTCTTCTTACCTTTCTCCTAAACAAAACTCGGGCCACGATCCATTCATCTTTGGACCAGGCGCACAGTCTGAAGATGCACGTTACAGTCGTGAGCTTACCTCTAAAAATGCTGGCTTTTAGGCTGGTAGTAATCGAATAAAAAGCTCTATTTGTCCAGCACTGTTTAAGAAATGCATTCTGAAACTGCCGTCTAGAGAAGATGCTGACCACACACAGCCATCTCCATACGCTGCCGCTCAGGCCAGAAGGGAGAGCACCTTCGCTCCAGCACCCTCTTCCCATCGCAGCTCTGCCCTGCCCCCCTTGGTCACGGCACCACGGCCAAGTCCCTTCCTCTGGAAAGTAAAGCTGGCACTTGCTTCACAAAGCTGTAAGCACGTGGGCATGTGTCCGGCCCTCGGTGAGCCCGAGACTGTTAGTGAGGCCCACGTGTTGCTGTTCTCTGCCCGCCTCGGGGGCCGCTGCTGTAAATCTAGAATAGTCACAGGTCCAGGCACTTAAAAGGCACAGGGGTCTGATTTCTTGGTTTTCAAATGGACCAAATACAGTGAACCAACCAGCCACACACATTAATTGCAAGTAAATGAGGATGACCGGTGAAATTCTAAGAAAGAAACATCTACATGCAAGTGACATCTCAGGGACCAAATAGGTAACGGTACTGTAGGGTCACTGAGGTGAGCGAGTGTGTGGCCTGTGGTTCCGTGGGTTCCTCTGGTGACGGCCTGGCGGCCCCGGCCCCGGTCCCACCTGGGGCCCGTGCTGCCGACGGCGATGGCGTGAGGAGAGCTGTGTTCACGGGGGGTGCACCCCTCAATCCACATATCTCACAGCGAATGCAAACCCCAGTCACTCACACCTTCGTGTTTTCCCAAGAGAGAAAGCCCCCCGCCACCTCCCCTCCTCATTCCGTACCTTCTCCCGAAAGCTCTTGTTCTTGGCTGCGCCGGCCAGGGCAGCGCTGGCCGCCCTGCACGCCCTCGGAGTCCCATCCAGCTGGAGCAGCGCCCAGGCCCTCAGCGTCTGGGGCAGGGGCTGGAGCTGGCCCAGCCGCTTCCCCTGCAGCTTCCTGACCACCTTGGCCTGCCCCGCGCACTGCAGCTCCTCGACCAGCGTTACTAGAAGAGACGGAGGGAGTGGGCCCGGGGTCGCCTCTGATGGTGGCTGGGCCACTGCCGTTAGCGATGGAGAAGCAAATCCCAGGGCAGGTGCATGTGGTCACAAGGCCAGTCTGGACTGGTTTCAGAGGGGCCTTCTGGAATCTCCAGGAAGGCTTTCGAGCAAGGGATCAAGTTCGCCCTGCAAATTAATACAACCCCAGCCCATAACTTTAAGGACGCTGGCCAGTGGGGGCTGCCCATTGTCTGCAACGCAGACCTCGCCTTGGGCTGAGTAAAGCCTCCTTCCCCTACAGCTGGTCTCATCGCGTGGGCTGAATGTGGAATCTAGTTAAATTGGGGTTCTTGAAAGAACAGCTGCAGGGGAGAGACACCATGGTTCTGAAAAACTGGCTTCCAAGAGCCAGGACAGAGGGTGCCACAGATGGATGTTCTTTGTTGTGACATGTGGCTTTGAGGCCACCTGCCACCCTCGCCGGCCCCTACCTTCCTTGGTGAGCTGGGCAAAGTGCTTCTCCAGGTCCGAGACACTCTGCCTCTGCAGGTAGCTGTGAAACTGGAACCAGGTGACAGTCTGTTCCTCAGGGAGGCCGGCTCCAGGGAGCAGCCCGCCGCAGCTGACCACCTGCTCCAGGAGCCTGCGGCACGCTGGTGAGGACACGCGGGAGGGGGCCGTGAGCAGGGCCTGCGGCCTCGCCCGCTGGGAGCTCCTTAGCCGGCCTGGCCAGAGTAAACGCTTTCCACGGGCACATGCGTGGGTGTCTCTCACTGCACCTCCTGTCCCCGCAAGAAGGAGTGCGCTCCTGGCTCGGGCAGCCTTGGGGCAGCGAGCACCCCCGTGGCCAGAGCCCGGCCTGGGAATAGGCAGGCCGCCGAGCAGCCCGGGGTGCTTAGAGCTGCTCACGCTCCAGAGCCACCACCGGGAGTAAGACTGTCCCCTTTGTTGTTAACGAGCAGTGCTCTGTATTCTGAAGAAGCATCAAGACACCTTTACAGGGGAGACAGGAGGCTTTCTTAACCCCAGTAAGGTCCTGGTGGAAGCTGTGGATTCTGTCCCCAGGAAAATGCACCAACCCACTCATGTTTGCGGTTTCACAGACTCCTCCTCCTTCATCTCCCCAGTAAAAGGAGGTGACCGGTCGTCACACTGGGAATGAAGACAGAGGTGAAGCCGGGGCTAAGATGAGGCTCGCGGTGACAACGCTGAGGGCCCAGAGGCTCAGGACAGCGTCTCCTGGGGGGCGGAGGGAGCTACCTATTTCCAGTTGTCCCGGGTACTTCCCCCTGACTCTGTGCAGGAACGTTTTCTTGAGCTGGTTCAGTAGCGTCGCGGCGGGGCAGGCCAGGACCCCGCCGGGCACGGTGCACCGTCTCCACAGCTTCAGGCAGCCCTTCCTCCGTGCGGCCTGCGGGAGGACTGAAAGCCCAGGCCCGGACACCTCGCTGTGGTGGGAGGAGCCTGCCCGAGGGCCCACCCATTCCCTCCACTGGGGCGTGAGGCCGGGGCGCTGAGGGGCGACACGCAGTGTCCTCTTCCCACACTCCAGTGTGACGCAGGACATGCTTTGGCTCTAAGCCCCTTCCCCGAGGCACCGCCCACCGGCCTCCTAACAACCTGGGGCGGCTGCTGTCACCAACCTCTCCTTACGGACAAGGGGAGGCCCCGGGGGCAGAGGCGGAACCGGGGTCACAGCTTTTATTAACACGGGAGCTCATGCTGGGTGCCTGGAGTGTGTCTTGAGGCTTCCGAAGCTGAGGCTCAGAGGGGTGGCTCACTTGCCCGCAGTCACACAGCTGACCGCAGAGCATGTGCGGCCTCCCTCCCCGCCCCCACAGCGTGTCTCTGAGCTCAGTCTGGCCAGGGACACCCCAGGGCTCCAGCGACTTTGGGTGTCAGGACGACGGGGCACCCCTGTGCTCGAAGCCTGTCACTTCATGCCATTCCCAGGAGCAGCCCATGGTGGCGGGCGGTTACTTACTCTCTTCAACGGACGTCGCCTTGCTGACCTTCTCAAAATCAAGCATAGAAAGAGTCTCCAGAACCTGCTTTTGCTGCGCAGCTTCTTCCAGAAGGCATTCCTGAACCATCCTCGACACGTTGGGGGAGGCCAGTTTCTGGGAAGCAGCCCAGGGCGCTCCAGGTTAACGTGGACACGCCCTCCAACATCAGCCATCGTGGCCAGGCCGTCCCCCTGCCCCGCGCCCACCCTCTCTATCCCAGCGATAGCTCCCGGACGGTCATCGGCGGGTTCCCCCTTCACCCAAGCGGCTGCGGCTGTAGGGTACAGGCTGGAGCGCCCAGGGGCTGGCTTTGACCCCCAGAAGGGACCAGCCTGCCTGAAGAGTGAAGCCAACCTACACAGGAAAGCAGAGCTGAGGGAGGGAGGCCCGGCCACGGTGACATTTGAAACCGTGGGTGCAGCTGGGCCTGAAGCCCACCTCTGGGCTTGTCAGCTCTGCGAGCCAACACACTTCTCTTTAGGTTGAGCCCGTTTGGATCGCAGCTCTGGCTGTGACAACTGAAGGAGTCACGGCCACTGCCTTTGATTCAGGACTTGGGCTGCATAAGAGCCACATGACTCTTTACTTGGCCTGGCCTGGACCTTCCACAGGGGAACCTCCTCAACCTCACCGGCTCTCAAGGCGCAGGTCTCCTGCCCCCACGCCAAGCTCCCCGCCACTTTGAGATCAGCCATTTGCAGGGAGCTCTCCCAACCCGACCGGGGCCCCCGGCCAGCCCCTCCCTCTCCACCCTCCCCGCCTCTTCCCCAGGCCCCTGAGCCACCTGCAGCAGAGCCTTGCAGACTTGGAGGTGGACTGTGAGCAGCATGTCCAGCTCAGGGGCGCCAGCCGTGAGCTCCCTGGATGACTCTTTCAGGGACGGTGGTGGGGGCAGGGTCCTGTCCTTTCTGGGTTGAATGGGGAAGAACTAGGTGACCATTCTGGCTGCGGTAGAGGGTACCCTCCTCCCCGGAGAGCTCTGATCAGGGAGGCCGCTGAGGGGTCGGGGGGCACGGTCGCTGCGGCGCGTCGGTTAGGTCAGGGTCAGAGGCCCTCCTGTGTCTTCCACCCTTACTTTTTTAAGGTTAAAAAAGAAAGTCCCTTGCTTGGAGTAGAAAGCTCAGGGCCAGGCTGAGTCCCTGGGGACCTGCTCTGTGCCACGCAGGGTGCATGTGGGGATGGGAGGTGGAGGGTTACGAAAATAAATACCAATCATGCAATGGGAGACAGAGGCCAGGAGGCTGCTAGGAAGCATGGAGCCAAGGCTGGTCACCCGGTCGGTGCTGGCGGGTGCACTCACCGGGGACCCTGGGGGCCCCCAAAAAGGGACAGCTCGTGAGGGGCGAAGTCGGCGTTGAGGAAGGCGAAGCTCTCCAGGATGCACTCCATCAGGCTCTCCGCCGAGCTGTGCTCCCGGCGGCCTCCGCGGGGCTGTGGACGGAGCGAGACCTGAAGGCAGCCGGCCCCAACCACCCCGTCTGGCACCCTCCTCTTAGCAGTGTTCCCTAAGTCGGGGAGGGACACGGGGCACAGCACTCCTCAAGGACCCTCCTAACTGGCATGTGACAAGGTATGGTGCAAATGCCTGAGGGAGACAGATCTGACTCGTCACAGACACCCGCGAGGACAGGGCAGGTGACAGGAGGGAGCGAGTGGCTGTGGGGACCATGGAGAGCCCGGGAGGGCAGGCGATGCTGCAGCTGACACCTGCCACCCGGGAGCGGAGTCACCAGGTTGTCACCAGGTTGTTCAGCTTTCTACGAAAAACGGGAAACCTAGGTTTTTCTGGGAAGCTGCCCTGTTTTATATATTGACAACTAATTTCAAGGTATTTTAAAAATACTGTGTGAGTCAAGCCAAACACCTGTTCAGGGGGCTCAGAGGTGCCAGCTTAGCCTGCGGATCCCAGGTGTGTGTGCTCTGGGGAGGGTGGAAGGGGAGGAGATGGGGGGCCACCCCTACCTGGGAGGGGACAGAGCATTGAAGCCCCGGCACTCCCTCCGCTCAAGTCCTCAGAGCCTCCCTGTGGCCGCCCCTCCCTCGGCGAATAGAAATCCACTACTGGAGGTGTCAGTCTTGTCCCCATGTGGCGGACTCCAAGGCTGGCTCCTGTCCCCAGGCCCAGCTAGCCCGGCCTCTTCCCACCCGAGACACCGTCTAAGCAGGTGCTACCCTGTGAGCAAAACCGGGCCCCAAAAAGCGGAGCCCAGACAGAGCCTCGAGCAGCGAGAGATAATAAGGCCAGCTGCAGAGATGTCCTTTCCTGACAGGAAAAAAAAAAATGTGTGCCTATACACACGCGCGTGCACACCCAGGCGATTCCTGTCGTTCGCACTGGTCTACAAAGCCGCCGTGAGCACGCGGTTTCTGAACCCAGAACCACGGCTCCTCGGGGAAGGGCAGAAGCTGCGAGCCTCCGCTCACAGCATTTCTGTCAACAGCCAGTAGGGACCCTTGTTTTATGCGTGCTTCTGTTCAAAGACGCCTTATTTCCTCTGTATGGTTTATTGCCTAACAGTGAGTTCAAGCCGACAGCCTGCAAGTCACGCCCAGCCCACATATTTCCTCCGTGAGGCACAATCACCGCCGTCTTGCGCTTCGGACACTGGCCAGCACTTCAGCCCTGTGCTGGGGCCATTCACAACAGCACGTTAAAAAAAGGGAAGGCACCAAAATGTGAAAACCCAGCACTAAACAGATGGCAGAGGGACATGAAATACAGAAAGAGAACTGAACCAAGGCAGCAGAGTGTCACCTTGTTCAATGAGCAAGTCAGGTGACTCACACTTTGAGTTGCGCTGCACCTGACAGCAGCATGAGAATTGATTTGGGGGTTAAAGGTAAACTTCAGCAAGTAAACGAATTCACACAGAAAAAGAACCTATGAACAATGAGTAGAGGTGTAAATACACACACGTTTATACACCCGTACTTTCTCTTTAAAAAGTCAAACTAAAGCCATAGCCTGTAATCATTCTTATTCTTCTAACTTGGTTTGCCAAAAAAAAAAAAAAAAAAAAAGAAGAGTTCCTCAAAGATGTTTAAAATTATTGCCTGATTGCGGTATTATTTTAAGATTTATGTGTAGAGTGGGTATAATTTTTCAAATTACAGGTGACAGGCTGTGAGTATGCTGACAAATTGTTCTACGTGAAAACGCTGTTAAGAAATACGAAAAAAAAGTGACTGCTTATATATATATATATATTTTTTTTTTTTTTTTTTTTTGAGATCTTCAGGCAGGTCCTTTTCAAAGACCATAGCAGGGGTAAATAGTGAGCTTTTTTAAAAGTTACTGGAGGGAAAATGAAAATCCCCCTCTTTTCACCTCTGCTGATCGTAACAGTGGGGAAGGCATAAAACAAAACGAGTTTTTGCAGGGAGCTGGTGAGTCATTTCAGGGCCAGGGCGCACCTACACGAAAGACAGTGTTTTATAAATTAATTGATGTATAAGTAGGTGCTGGTGTGATACATTTTATTTTATGTACATTTACCTTTATGTAAACCCAAAAAACCAGGATGATCTGCCCAGGCCGGCACCTCTGAGAGCCCCATGAGAACGGCCCCGGGCGTGGGCCCCCTCGAGGGGAAGTGTCGGCGTGGGGCACCTTCCACGGCACCAGCTCTGACCGTGAGCACAGCCCAGGTTTGCGACTTTAAGGCTAAGTGGCGGCCTCACGAGCTCAGGCGTGGAGAGGTGAGATGGGGCTGGGCTCTGGCTGGGGGTGGGTGGAGCAGGCTACCCACTCTGAGCCCCGGCTTCCTCCCGGCCCTCCTCCCAGCCCTCCTCCCGGCCCGATGAGGGCTGTCGCCATTCAGGGGAGCAGACTGAGGCCCAGAGAGGAGACAATGCCCACCCAGGCGAGGCAGAGGTGACAGTGGCATGCCGGCCCAGGCTGGCTGCCCCCCCGGCCCGCCCCCAGCCGTTGGCAGAGCTGGGTTGCCGTCCAGCAAGGAGCGCACGTACCTTCAGCCGGTCCCTGAAGCTGAGGACTTGGTACTCCAGCTCCCGGAGCCGGGGCTGGGAGGGGCCTGTGCACCTCAGCAAATCCAGGACCTCCTGCAGGGGCCTCTCGGGGTTCACCCCGGGCCCGTCCACTCTGTCCCCTGCTTCTCCTTCATCGTGGTCTTCCTGGCTGCCCGGCACCGTACAGCTGTGGGGCGGGGAGCCCTGCGGTAGGCCGGGGCGCTCCACTCCCAAATTCCTCCAGCCAGGCTGCTCCACAAACGAGCCTGCTGCCAGGTGGGCCATGTCTGGCAGGAGGCCCAGGGCTGGGGGGTCCTCCTGGGCCTCTCCCAGGGGGGCACTGGGGCCAATGGCTGAGGGCAGGAACCCCACATCCGAGGTGGACGCTGACGTGCTGGTCTCCGTGTCTCGGGGGTCCTCAGAGCTGAAGGAGTCCATCTCAGGTAGCTCCTGACTCCGGCTGCACAGGCTAGGGCCCCGAAGGTCGCTGTCGGACAGGTAGCTGAGGATGGAGGTGGCCCTCGCGCCGCCCAGCAGCAAGGCCTGCCGCGCTGGCTGCTGCAGGACAGACTGGAGAGGGGGACACCGGGCCAGCCTCACTGGCTGCCCCGGGGACCACAGGCACTCCCCTCTGCACACCCACGCTCGCCGGACGCCTGCGGCCCACCAAGCTGACTCAGAGGTGCTGGTAGGACCCCCGAACCTCTCTGCTCTTACCCCCTCACCCCTCTAGCTCACACCTTCTTAGCCCCAGCTGTACCGCATGCCCCTCCAGGTTCATTCCCACCTTCCCACCTCAGGGCCTTTGCATAGGCTGTGCTCTCTGCCAGAGAATGTTCTGCGTTCTTTCCCCTGGTCCCTCCACCCCTGGGGAGGCAGTGCTCCCCGAGGGCGCGGCCCCCACCTGGGCTGGGGGAGAGCCTGGCCCATAGTTTTGAATGAGTGAAGTGAATGAATGAATGAACAACTTGCCCTACAACACACAGCGCGTGCTCACTGTATACAAACAACAGCAGCTCATCGTTAAATTAAGCATCTGGTGTTTACATGCCTGGTTCTGAGGGCCTTCGTCCTCACCGTTTATCCCTCAACCTCTGGTCCCCCAGGGCATCGCTGAGTTACAAAGGCTGCCAAGGACTAAAAGATGGAGGAGAAGATGCATTTGCTGCCAGATGGCATTGAGCATCTCTGGAAGGATATGGAAGAGGTTGACAACAGCTCTAGGGAGGGGACCCAGGTCCCTGGAGGTCACAGGAGAAAGATGTTTTACCGTACACTATGTCGAGGTATTACCTACTGGAAACATACTCAGTTTAAGTTTAAAACAAATACACTGGAGACCTTGGTCCATGGCTGGGATGATAGGACCCTCTGGAAGACCTTATTCCAGGCATCCAAGAGAACCAACCACGCCTAGCAACCCCCCAGAATAGAGGGGCTAACATGGAAAAAGAAAAAGGACAGAAAAACACCCAGGATAACCCAAAATAAAGGAGGCGGAACCGAACCCAAAGCTTGCCACGTGGAGAGGTGCCAGGCTGCTCAGCCCAGTCCCGCACGCTGGCCTCTGGGAGTCCCCCCACCCCCGCCAGCCCCCGCACGACCGCAGCGCCTCCACCCACTGAGGCCCGCTCACCAGGTAGTACCGCTCCCGGAAGCTGGGGGTGCTCGGGGGTGTCCAGTTGTACAAGGAGCCCTTCCTGCTGCCCACAGAGAACTTGACCGTGGGGCTGGGTGACACCAAGAAACTCTCAGTATCAAGCGGGCTGGAGGCGAGGACAGAAGGCCAGGGTGTCACTGATGCTCGAGGGGACATTCAAGCACACCCGGGGCCCGGGGACTGAAGAGGAAGTGGAGGCCCTGGGAGGGGCAGGGCCTTGCTCAGGGTCACAGGCAAAGCCCAGTGGCTCCAGCAGCCAGAGGGCGAGGGGCTGCGATTGGCGCCAACACGTGTGAGTGACGCCCCTTCAGAGGCCCCTCCGAGAAGCTCAGCAGACCAGCAGGAGACACGCAGTGCTGCCATTTCCTGGGTCAACCCTGCCCTTGGAGCAGGTAGGCCGGGCACCCCTCACCCCCACCCCGCCTCGCAGAAACCTGCTGGCTCACATTTACGCACAGGCCTGGCTAGAGGGGTCTGGCAGCCAGCCCAGCCCCTGGGGCCTGTGACTGTAGGCACCTTCCTCCTGGGGGTGAGGGGAGAAATGCCCACGAGTAGGTGCTGGGGTGTGGTCAGGCCACCAGGGGGAGCCAGCGAGACCCCCCCCCCCCCCCCCCAAGCCTCTTCCTCTGGGTGGGAGTCCCTCCAGGTGGGAATCTGGGGCTGGCCTGGGGGAGGACCAGCAGGGCAGGCGGGGAGGCGGGCCCCTACTCACTTCCACAGCACCTCCAGCTGCAGCTTGATGGTGCCCAGCTCTGTGATGTCCACCATGATGACCTGCGGCCGGGTCGTGAAGAAGTCGGTGATGTCACACGTCACTGCGCCCACGGCCAGCGAGCTCAGGCCACGCAGCTCTGTCACCTGGGGGTGAGGGGTTGCAGGTGGTTTCTGAGCGGAGCGCCTGGAGGCCCTGGCCCTGCCCCCGGGCCCCACCCACCTTGATCTCGAAGTTCTCGTGCAGGGCGGGGGTGAAGGCCTTCTCCTCCTCATCCCAGGTCTGACTGTCATCTGACTCGATCCGGCCCTTCAGCCTCCAGCGCTGGCGGCCCAGGCGCATGAGCACCTGCGGCAAGGCCCAGGAGGGGATGGGTCAGCTGCCCCAGGTGGATGCACCCCCTTGCCACCTGCTTGGGGGTCCTCCCTGCCAGCTGGGACCCTGGGACCCCGGAAGGCCTGGCAGGGAGTCCTGAGGACTGATCCCAGAGGCTGGCCATACCTCATACTGGTCTCCTGGACAGAGGCGTGCGTAGCCCACCAAGCCTGGAACGCAGAGATGGGCTGATCTCTCTCTGTCCTCCTCTGCCCCTGCCCCGTGTTGGGCCCTCACGGGGGGACTCCCACCCAAGTCTGGAACTCAGACTCAGAGATAAGCCATCATGATGGACAATGGAGAGGCCTGGTCCCTCACATCCAACTCAGAGAGGGGGTGGAACCTGCCTGAGGTCACATGTCACAGGAGTGCAAACCCAGGGCTGGGCCAGAGGCCCTGAACTCTGACCCAGGCCCCACCCTCAGCAGAAGTCCCAGGGCCCTCAGAAGGCCTGACACCCCACCCAGCCGGCTGCTGCCCGCCCCCTCAGCCCTGTTACCTTTCATCCTGACGTGGAACTCGCCCAGGTGGACCTCCAGGGCCCCCTCTATGAGCCACATGTCCTGCAAAGCCCCACACAGGGTGTCTCAGCGCCTGCCCCAGGCTGAGCCTCTGACTCGGCCAGAGGCCGTGGGCCGAGCTTCCTCAGGGCCCCCAGGGCTGGGTCTGGCCCCCCACTGCCCTCCGGCGCCCCGTGGCGGCCTACCTCGGTGCACTCCTGCAGGCTGCGGCCCAGCTCCTGCAGGCTCTCCCGGGAGGCGCGGCTCGGGGGGCCCCTGGAGAAGGCGCGCTGCATGTTGGAGGCGCCGTCTCGCAGGCGGCACTGGATGCAGTAGCCCTCGTAGAGTTCGTCCACCTGCGGGGGGAGGGATGGTGGGTGCTGCCCACCCTGGGGGCTGGGGGGCGGGGTCCGGGCCCAGACCTGCCCTTGTGTCTCTCTCGCGCCCTCTGGGGAAGAGGCTGCCCCCAAGCTAATGTCCCCGCCCCAGCCCCGGACGGTGGGCACAGCCTGCATTTGTCCCCCGGCTCCCACAGTGTGCGAGCCCACAGAGCCAGAAATCACGTCTGTCTCACCCACTTCGGGTCCCCTGCACCGGGCAGCGGCTGGCACGGAGTCGGTGCACAGCAAAAGCTAGTGAACTGGACAGTAACGGCAGCCCTTCCCCTCTCCCTGCCCGATGTGTCAACAGAAAACAGGGGTGGGGCTTGTGATGTCCAGCCCGCCCACCGGGCTGCTGGCAGAATAAAGCGAGATCATGGGAGGGTGCGCAGACTTCAGGCCTTAAAGGACTTGCTGTGTGACCTCGGGCAGTCCTGTCCCTCTCTGGGCTCCCACTCTCCCATCTCTACAATGGAGTGCTTGATCTCAGCCCTCTGAGATTGAGCGTGGGGTCTCTTGGAGCTCAGCCCCTGCAGGTCCCACTCCCTTGACTTTCTCCAGCCACTCAGCGCGCAGAGAGCGATCCCAGAGAGGACCTCCTGGCTCCTGCTGCCCCGCAGACGCCCAGCAAGGACAGAGACTATCCCCGCCCCACCCTGAGACACCCAGGAAGCAGGCTGACCTTGCTGATGTGAAATTCCATCTTCCGAATGTGCCTTTCCACAGAGCGCGTTTGCTTCTCCCAGAAAAAGAGAAGATGCTTTGAAAGTCGCCCAGCCCACCTGCCAGCTCTTGCCACCCCGCTTCAGGCCTGACACAGAGAACGGGGCTCAGAGCCAGGCCAGCCCCTCGCCACCCTGCGGAAGGCTCGTCGCTAAACCTCCGTCTCCCCGTGTGTAAAATGGGGAGGACCCCTGGTATTTGGGGGGAACAAAGCCGTTATTCTCACCCGGCCAGGCCCAGCCACGGCCCACCTTGCTCACCACAGGCAGACAGGAAGTTTCACTCACCTTGTCCAGGTCGTAGTAGAAAGCCTGTGGGGGAGGAAAGAGGGGCGGGAGAAGCGGTCAGTGCTCCGGATGCTCCCCCAGGACCCAGGAGGCTACATCCCAGGGGCGCCCGGGCTCAGAGGACAAGAAGCCCCTCCATCCTCTGAGGCCCGCGGTCCAGGCAGAGGGAGAAGAGGGATTAAACACATGCGCTTTGGGCAAATCTTTGTATAAAGAGCTAGATAGCAAATGTTTTAGGTTTTGTAGGCTATATGGCCTCCGCCATTGCAGCATGAAATCAGCCCCAAACGAGGTATGAGTGATGGGTGTGGCCTGTATAAATAAACCATAGTTCTGAAAGAGGCCCTCGTTTGTCCCCGTCGACTAGAGGCACCGTCTCTGAGCCCGGAGAAGTTTCCACAGGGTTGCAGATCCACGAGGGAGAAAGGGCAAAGTGTGGGAGGGTGTGTGAGCTCGGAGTTCACTTCCGAAAGATGGTTATTGACCAGAGGCTTCCTCCGCACTAGTCTGCGTTTATATGATTATGTGGCCCGAGAGAAAAATATGGAAAGATAAATGTTAGCATTAAACAGAGTGGGAAAGACACGATGCAGGAGGGTGTCAAGCAAAAAGGAACAAGAGATTGAACCTCCTGAGTTCTGTGTTTTCCCATGTGTGGATTTATGCGAAATTGTACAAGTGGAATTATGGAATTAAAGCACCACGTAAGAAGTAAAGAACAAGTTCCTAAGTCTTTGGAAAGAAAAGTTACAGCACACAACTTCTTGGTAACCTAGAGCCTGCAGCGTCCAGAGAGGCGGGACCCACACGCGTCACCCCGCCACGCGGCGGCAGCGCAGCGCCCGCCCCTTGCCTGGCCTCAGCGCACCCGCCTCTGACATGGGGACAGCTGAAACACAGGAACCTTTATACACTCGTCTACCTTAGAATTTCTTCTAGAACCAGGACGGAGAGATGGGGCGGTGGGAGAACCTCCGCACTCACAGAAGAGGGGCGCAGCTGAGTGCTGGGAAGGCCTGAGAGCCGGGATGGGGTCTTGGTAGCGCTGCCTCCCTCCACATGTGTGGCCCGCCCGCCCACAAAAGGGCGAGACCTGGCTGAGCCGCCCACCTCCCCCTCCCCAAAGCAGCTGGCCCATGTGTGAGCCTGAGGGCCGGTGAGTCCCATGTGCTGACCCCCGCGGTCTTCTCGGCTGGAGCCAGGACACGCAGGCAGCCGGCTGCTGCTCTTTGAGAGAGAGAATCACGCCCCCGCCCTGGTTTCCCAGCCCCTGCTCTCTGCGGAAAATCAGACCTACTGGACCGCTATTTTTTGTCTGTCTTCGGTCTTGACTGTGTGTATGTGTGTGTATGTTTCTAAACCTGGCTCTGCTAAGGAGGCAGCAAAAGCGCAGCGCCGACGAGCCTCGGGCTAGACGGGCCTCTGAGCCACTGCCCTGAGGGCTGCCGGAAACCAGCAGAGCGATGGGGGACACGGAGGGCTGGCCAAGGACAGCCTCAGGGGCCCCTGTGACACACCCTAGAGCCAATGCCTGGCCCTGTTCCTTGGCAACACGGGAGCCCCCTGCCTGCAGGGCGACCAGACCGCCATGGTCTGTAAACTAGGCCCCTGAACAGGCACTTCTGCACACCCACCTGCCGCACAGTGGCTTCTAGAACCAAAGAGAGAGTGGAGGTGGGTCCTTCGATGGGTGAACTCTGCACCATGTTGGGGGCGCCAGGGGGCTTCCCCCCAGCCTCTGAGGTTAAATTCACCCCAATATAAAGCAAGTCCGTTCCTTAGGCCTGTGCATCCCGGAGATCTGCCCCCATGCCGCCGGTAAGCGGGTGAGGGGGGGTCCGCCTTCGAACCCCGGCCAAGGCTGCTCCAGCGGGAAGGGGCGGGGATGAGTCTCACCAGCCGGGAATTCCTGTGGGTGTCCTTGTGGCGTCCTGACAGGTAATCCAGCTCGGCCTGCTGGGCGTACAGGTACTCCCTGCGAGGAGAAGGAGGAAGAGGAGTTGGAAAAGGAACAAAGAGAGAAAAAGAAACAGGCCGTTGACCAGTGTCCCAGAGTGCAGGCAGCCACAGCCTCCACGTGGACAGCAGCTGTGGTTCTCGGAGGGCGGAGGGCAGAGGGCAGAGGGCAGAGGGCAGGGGGCAGAGCCATCCCACCCACCCGGAAGCCTGGCCCCATCTGCTGGGCCTTGAGATCCCACACGCTGTGGGCCATGTGCCTGCCCAGCCCTGTGAAAAATGGGGAATATCTCTGTGATTCCCCAAACCACCCACGAACAGCTTCTACTCTTATGAAACCCATCTCAGAAGTGGGCAAACTGACCCTCAAAGATTGCAAGTAACGCAGCGTAGGGTCACAGGGCAGAGAAAAGGCTGGACCCAGTGGCCTCCAGAGGTCGATGTCTTCACCAGGCCCCAGGGGAGGCCAGCGAGAACAGCCCTCCCTGGTGGCCAAGGGCAGGTTGCCCTGCTGCCCGGCTGCCAGGGGCCGAGCACCAGCGGGGGACCTGGAACGCCCATCCCAGAAAGCACAGCAGAAGCCATGGGCCGGGAGGCGGCCCCCCACGTTGTGTTCTCTGGCCAAAGAGGCTCGGGCAGGAAACCTGAGGTTTGGGCTTGGGAGCTGGGGTGGGGCTCCTTCATGGATTTGCTGGGTCAGCCTAGGGGGGGTGACTCGCTCTCTCTGGGACCATTTACACCACTATCTACCAGGCGCTGCCCACTCAGAAGTTTGCCTCCCCAGGAAAAAAGGGACGCTGTTGCCTCCAGACAAGTCTCAGACAGGCAGTCCTATGGGAATCACCAGGAGCTGTCCTGGGAGGTGAGCACCTTGGAGACAGGTGTCCACCCTCCGGGCTCACCCCCCAGCTCCCTCCGGCACCAGCGCCGGGTGCTTCATGGGAGGAGGGTGAGGGATGCCTCCTGGGTGGTGTTGGCCCTGGAGCCCCACGCCCTGCTTCCCGGCATGGGATCCTGGGCAAGTTGCTTCCCATCTGGCTGAATAACCAGGAGCTGCCTCTGTGGCCCCTTCCAGACGAGGCCCAGCCATGTTCCCCAAGGAGAGGCAGAGAGGCACAAGCAGACAAAAGGCCAAAGAGTTCACTTGTTAGAGGCCGCAGACATCTTGCCCTTACTTGAGACCTCTCTTCAGAGCTTCGAAGACCTTCTTCACTTGCTGCGTCTTGGAGTCCAGGCAGACAGAGCCCTTCCGCAGCGTGCCGTACATCCTGGATGGTTTTGCAGGTACTCGAGACCTCACTGAGTTCCTCTGGATGGACTTTCTGTGAGAAGAAATGGGGGGTCAGAGCGGAGATTTCTGCTCTGGACAAAGTGTTTCCCAAGGGCAGGCATTTTGGGGACAGCAGCCAGAGCTGAGTCCCACCCTAGCACCACCAAACTTCATGGTCTCAGGGGAGTTGCTAAGACTCCCTGGGCCTACACTCCTCATCTGTAAAATGAAAGCTTGGATTTTAGGATTAAAAGGATACTGCTACCACCAATAGTAATAACCTGACATGAGACGTGAACGTAGAGTGAGAAATACAATCAAGCAGCCCAAATGCCAGCGCTCTCTGATCAGCATGCTTTGTCAATGCAGGCAAAGCAACGTGGGAGGCCCAATCATAGCCCTGCGGGGCACCCATGGGTTGGGTACTATTGGCTTTGCCTGCGCAGCATCCATCCACCTCCCTCTGTTAATAGTGCCTTGAGTTTCCTCTGGGGGACCTCCCCAGCCCTGATCTTTACACATGTGACTTGGAGGGAGGTAGCCTGACAAATCCCCACACACACATCTGCATGCGCACATGCAAACACAGGCATCCTGAGGCAAACCCATGCTCCGGACCTGGGTTAGTCCATCTATTCCACTCCCCTGGCCGGGGGAGAGGCATGGGAACCAAGTCTGGCCAGTGGTTCTGTAGCAGAGCTGGGACCCGAGCCCAAATGTGTGCAGAGCCTCAGCCTGGGATCTTAACCAGGCAGCTGGGAGCAGGTGCAGGATCCTCAGGATCCTCAGAATCCTCAGAATCACCTGGGGACTTAGACTCAGGTGGCTGACTGCCCCCCATCCTACCCCCGCCCCCCGCCAGAGTTACAGATTTATCGGCCTAAGGTGGGGCCTGAGAACGTGCATGTTAACGGGTTTCCAGGTGCTGGTGCTGCTGCTGGCTTAGGGACCGCACTTTGAGCAGCGCGGTCTCAGGGGAATCGCCATTTCTGCTTCATGCGGGAGGCATCCTCCTCCTACCAACCCTGCTCCGCGTCTCCCTGGGAGCCTCCACAGTCTGCTTGCTGCATTTTTAAGGTCTAAAATCAGGGACACAGGACTTTGTCACTCATTCAAACACTCACAGAGCGCGGTTCTCCCTGGGTCAGGTGCTGCGAGAAAGCCAAGCGGCCAGCATCCCACCCTCGAGGGCTCACAGCCCACAGGGAGAGGGGAGATTGCAGTCCGGAGGGCCAGGTCGAGGCGGCGCGGGCAAGTGGCCCACAGCTCCTGCTCCGTCGCCAGGCCTAAGAGGAGGGCCCCGGGGCAGCCGCCATGCCCTGGTCCCCCAGAGACTCAGCGAGCGGCCCAGCTGCATTTCCACCCCAGCCAGACGCTGCACATTCCACGCACAGACACAGCCACCTGCCGTTGACTCAACAGCGAGGCGTCATCCTGGCCACCCCTGCAGGCAGGGACCGAGCCTGCGGTTCCCCTGCACGGCTGCACCACTGCATTACAAAACTGCGTGCCAGAAACAGCGGCCCTCAGGCCCTGTCCGGACAAGCGGAGACCGGTTCTCAGAGGCTGTGCAGCAAGGAGGGGTCTAGAGTCCCACCCTGGACCCCCGGGGGCCTGGCCAAGCGGGGAGGACACAAGTGCCCGTGCTCAATTCCCAGCCCCAGAGGGCATGGGGAGCTAACTGGAGCCCCAGTGTCCCCATCTGTCAAACGGGGATGACAAGAGTGCTTGGCCCACAGGGGTAAGAGATAGTCATTCACTCAACAAATAGTCGAATAAGCACAGACTGTGTACCAGATACCATTTTAGGGGATGGGGGTGCAGCTGTGACCAAAACAGATGGGACCCCTCCCCCGTGAGCTGCCGAGCCAGCTGGGGGAGACCGTGGGAAGGGGTGGCAGCGTAGGCTCCCCAGCCAGGCACCAGGGTGTCTCTCCAGCTCCCCCACTTACAAGCTGTGTGACCCTGGGCAAGTTATTGAACCTCTCTGTGCCTCAGTTTTCTCATCTATAAAACAGGAACCCCAGGAAGGTTTGCCATGAGATCCACATGAGTGAGTGAACGTAAAGGGCTTTGAGCCACTTACGGGGTGTGGGGTGAAAGGTCAATGCTGTATGTGTTGAAGTTAAGATAACTTTTAAAAAGTCATATATCACAGGGCTCTTAGTACTAAGGAAAAAAATAAAGGCAGGATGATGAATTTAAGCAGGGTGAGCAGGGAAGGCTCCCCGATGCTTGCGTGAAGGCAGATGCACAGAGCGCAGGCACGAGCCTCTCACATCATGAGCGCTCAGCCCTGTACCTGTGTTGCTGTTTTCATTCATGTAGCATACAGTGACAGTTTCCAAAGGCCAAGACGGGGCTGTTCCCCCTCCGCCCTCTCCCTCCCTCAGGCCACATTACCCACCTCTTGGAACAGACCCTCCACAAAGTTGCCATCGCTGGGCGGCAGAGACGGGCGTAAGGGGGGGCAGGCGAGCCGGCGGGGCCGGCGAGCAGCTGAGAGGCGGGAGCCACGCTCCTCTGCCGGCTCCCAGGGGCCCGCAGTCCCTGGCGTGTGCGCGCCCACAGGCAAGCCCCCCTTCCATCTACCTGGAGACCTCGCTGCTGCGGCCGCGCCTGGACGCGCCCGCTCCCAGGAAGCTCTAAGCCCAGCGCTCCTGTCTGAGCTTCGACAGGGCAGGTGTGGCGGCCACGCTGGGGGCTGGCCCAGCCGGGGAGAGGCGCCGCATGTGCCGCCTCCGGATGGCGAAATCAGGCTGCAGTCTGGCCCCGTGTCACAACAGCCGGGCAGGGAGCGCCCTCTGGGGCGGGCACTCCACCAGCTCGGGAGGACTCGGTAAATATTCAACAGCCGCTGGCAGCCAGACAGAATTCCAGACGGACACGTGCGGCCGCCGGCCCAGCCCTCCCATGAGGAGCGTCCTCCCTGGCACCGCGGGGAGACGCCTGTCGGGGGTCCTGGGCCGCGGCCACTGCGGGGCTCAAACCCGCACCTCACCGTGAGCCAGCCTTTCCTCCTGTGTCCAGCGGTGCTGGACGGGCAGCGGTGATGGAAACACACACTTGGCCTTTGCAAAGGTCAAACTCTGCTCTGCATGGACTAGCCCATTTCTCCTGGTGCCTTCTCTGAGGTCCCCAAAGTCTCATGGGACAGCATGGGGGCTTCCACTGTGAACTCCCTCTCTAGCCTCCTCTCCAGGAAGATCAGGGGCTGCTATGAGCTTTCCCACCCCCACCTCCCAGCCGACACTGCAGGGGCTCTTGGCTCAGGAGGGTGCCTGACAACAGACAGACAGACAGCGGGGGAAGGGAACGCCGGGCTGAGGAGTGGCAGGATGGGGTTAAGAGCAGCCATGCCTGTCAGTCAGGGCAGAGTGGGACTGTGTCAGGGCCTGGCCTCCTTTTATCCCTGCCTTATTATATATGGCTTAATTATAGCAACCATTCACACCTTAGTCTAAAAGTCCCCCGCCAGATGACTTCCCCATGTGAATTCTTTGATTATGGAATAAAAAGGCGTGTCCAGTGTCAAAGGGGTTTCAGGTGCCAGAGCAGGGGAAGGATGGCGGGCCATCTACGCACCCGTCTAAGTGGAGCCCTGATCTGCTGCCCTGCGTCTAAGGTTATTTTGCCTGGCCCGCGCCAGCTGCTCAGTGCTCGGCAATGGGGCTGAGTTTCAGCCTGGTTGAATTACCTGGGAAATAAGGCCAGAGGTGAGGCCGGAAACCCGATCCAGGCCTCCCGGCCCTAGGGCCAAGGGTCCAGACCCCCATTGGAGTTGGACAGAAACAGGATATTAAAAATAGACCTGCTTCTCCCCTATCGTCGGGGGCAGCTCCTTCCTCGCCAGGGACAAGGGGCCCAGGTGTGGCCACTCGGGGACCGCAGACCTGAGGCCAGGCGTCCTCCGGAATTCCCTGAAGGAGGGGCCCCTGGGAGGAGGGGCCCCCAGGATAGTTGCTGCCACCGGGGCCCTCTTCCTTGGACTCGGGTGCAGACGCCGCATCCTTGCTGCTGCTCCATGAGCCCTAGTGTCTGAGGTTGGGCCCCCTCTGTCCTCTCCCGCCCAGAGGGCTGACCCCAGGATCCAGGAGGGGTCAGCAAGAGGCTGGGGACCACCTGGGGGCACTCTCTGGCTAGAGTTCCCCACAGGGGCCTGAGGGGACATTTCCCAGGGATGCGGGAAGCCTGGAGGCCCCGAAAGGCCTGACAGGGAGGGAAGGGCAGGCAGGACCGACTGCAGAATCTGGGAGGCCCAGGGCAAAGGGCAGCGCAGAGTCCGCAGCTCAAAACTTAAGACGTTCTAGACAGCGACAGCAGAGGGTTGAATCCCCTCGAGGGGCCCTGTGCCAGTCTGCAGGCCTCTCCCTGCTGCCAGGTCAGAGGGGGGACCAGCTCCATGCCAACTGGGGAGGTCGCAGCCGTCCTGAGCAGCTCTGACTACCAACCACGGGGCGGAGGGGACCCGGATGAAGCCCAGGAAGAGGCCACTCAGACTTGGTTCGTTCAGTCAAGAAATAGCATCGTTCCCGGGTCAGTGAACACTTAGCTTTAGAGAGCACCTACTGTGTGCCTCCTCACGGCGCACCCACGCTCTCCCCACGGAGGCTGGGGTCAGGGGCCTCCCCTGCACAGCCCTCCCGCACCCCCGGCTGCAGTGTCTCCACCGCACTCGCCGCAGCAGCTGGGTCCCTCTTGGTGACGGTGGGCTTGTTTACTGTCCTGGAGGAGGGTGCGGCCTGGGTCTTTTGGGGAGCCTGGGACTAGGGCTGGCCAGAGCGGGTGCTCTGCGCATACTTGTGGAATGAGTTAGGGATCCCTGAGGGTGCTTCCTGTAGGAGCACTCCGGGGTTTCAGCCCTGATACGCACTTCCAGACACACCTTGGAGCTGAGCAGCCGGGGACAAGGCGAGGCAGGCGGCAGGGCCTGACCATCAGGCCAGGCGTCGCAGGGGCCTGGTGGGCGCCTGCTCACCGAGGGGAAGGGCAATGGAGGGTGAGGGCTTGGCCTGGGGCCCAGGGCTCCCCTAGGACATGGCATCGAGGCGGATGAAGCAGGAACTGGAACTGGCCAGGTGAGCAGTGGAAGGAGAGTTGGGGCGGGGGAGGGGGGTCTCACCTGTGCAAAGGCCCAGAGGGGAAGGGGGTCCGTGTGGCTAAACAGACCCTGGAGCCAGGGGCTGGGGGGCTTGGGCTGCACGGCCGTGGACCCCAAAGCAGACATGTGCCTTCCTCCGGGAGGTTACCTTCAGCCAGAGGGGACACTGGGCGGAGCAGCCGTGGACTCACATCCAGAGGGTCAGCATGGACCCCAGGCCTGTCTCCATCTCTGTAGAGGCTGCTCCTCCTTGAAAACTTCCCATAAGCACCTGCTGTGTGCCAGTTGTGCTGGCTGCCGGCCATGTGTCACCTCCTGGTGCCCTCATGACAACCCCGTGAGAGGGAGGGACATTTGTGATCCTTGCTTCACACATGAGGAAACCGAGACTCAGAGGTGAGGTCACTGGCCCCAGGTCACAGAGCCGGGAGAGGTGGCCCATTTTCCATTTTCTCAAACAGGAAGAACATTCCATCCTCGCCCCACCCCCCGAGCCTCAGTTCCAACTCTGAGTCAGCCAGGCCGAGTGGCCTCGGGGCACGGCCCCACCTCTCTGGGCCTCGGTTTTCTGATCTGCCAAGTGGGCCTGATAGGTTTCTCCCAACGCCAGGAGTCTCACGCGCGCACACTCGCCGCGCGCCGCACGCCACGCCTCACACACCACCCACTCTGCCCTGGGCCGCAGGCCTGGCCTGCGAGTGAGCCTCAGGGTCACCGGCAGCAGGAAGAGGATGTCCGGGCCGTCCCCGCCCAGCCCTGGAGCGAGCCCCCCACCCACAGCACCGGCAGAACTTACGCGATCCTGCGGCTCTGTGCGCTGCTGAAGCCTGCAAAGGAGGCGCTCCGGCCCACGACCCCCACGGCCCCTGCATCCCCCGAGGACAGGAACCGCACCCTCACAGACATGGCTGTCACCTACAGGGAGAGGACAGGAGAGTCAGCCTTGCCCCGCCACCCGGTGAGAGCTGACTGAGGGTTGGCCGCCCTCCACCATGAGTCCTTACAGCGGAAAGGATGCAACCGGCGCTGTCCCCAGCTCACAGAGGAGAAAACTGCGGCTCGGAGAGGTTGGGGAACCTGCTTGGGAGGAGCTGCAGGAGCGAGATTCGAACCCAGGTCTCTGCACTCTGTGCTTGTTCCCAATGCCTGAGCTGTGCCGCATCCTCGTGTGGGGACTGGACGGTGCCTCCTGAACCCAGCTCTTCCCCTTTCCCTCTGCCGCTCCCCTCTGCCAGTAACGCTCAGCCCCTCCACGAACCCTCACTGAGCACCTACTGCATGCCAGGCGCGGTGCTGGGGACACGTGCTGAGCAAGACAGGCAGGGTCCTTGCCCTCTCCCTCCAGGGCTCTCAGTCCCCTGAGGAGGCCAACGAGCCACCAGACAGTCACAGTAGGGAGCCGATAGGGCAGTGGTCGGGGAACCCAGGGCACCTTTGGCCCAGCCATGGAGCAGGCAACCAAAGCCAAGGAGGAAAGGCTGAGGGGGAGAGAAGGGGCCAGGGATGGGAGGGAAGGGAAGGGCATTCGAGGCAGAGGGAGCAGCGCAGTCAAGGCCTGGGGGCGCCAATGACGTGGTGTGATGTCAGGGGGTCGGGGCACGGCGCCGGGTGAGGCGCAGAAGCCCTCCCTGCGCAGGTCGCGGAGGCCTGGGCAGCCCCGGGGGGACTTTGGCCTTGCAGCTGGGCCGAGGTATCCGGGAGCCAGGGGAGGGTTTTGAGCAGGGGGTGACAAAGCCCACTTCACATGAGGCCAGGCTGCTGGCCTCAAAGGCTTCCAGAGGCTCACGATCCGTCACCCCTTCCCTGACCCGGGCTGCAATGAGGCCAGCCTAGAACGCTGGCTGCCTTCTCTTTTTTCCAAACCATCCATAGATGGGAAGAATGCCACCCCGTCCCTTGGGACCATCGCCCGGTATCTTCCAGCATGGCCCATCGGAAAGCTCTCCTTCCTATCTAACCTCAATCTCTGCTGCTACAGTTTCCTACCTTGCTCCTCAGCCAGGGTGGGGTCAGGCCCAACCTACGCAAAGGCTGCCCCCCACCAGCTCCCTCCTCTCTCCGCTGGCGAGGCCCCTGCCTCACCAATCCTCTTCACCCTGCGCTGAGCCCAGTCTCCACCCCTCTGCGCAGGCGGGGCCTCGGCCTGGAATAACGTTCTGTCCAGCGCCCAGTCCTGCCTTTCGTGTGTCAGTCCCCGCCAGGGCTCCAGAGCCCTCGCCCTGAACCTGGTGGATCCATGCAGCCCCCGCAAGTCTCCCCTCCTCCTACTCACCCCCACGCCGCCTCCCTGCAGGAGCCTGGAAGCAGAAAAGCCAGGCTGGGGCTCCAGTCCCCAGCCGTGACTGTGCCACCCACAAGCTCTGGGCCTCGGCGATCGCTTCTGTACAGTGGAAGTTCACCAAGTCCCGAGGGGCCCATGAGCCAAGAGCACACAGTGCAAGAGACACTCAGAAGGAGCTGGTTGTCTCTGGGCCGCTGCTCTGGCCAAGGCCCCTGCCCCGGAGTGAGGCGCTGAGACGGAGAAGCCGGTGGGTGACTTCCAGCCCTGACGGCAGAAGCTGGTGACCACGTGCTGGGTACCCCCGCTGTGGCAAGCCCCAGGGCCAGGGACTGCCACTGGCTATAAACCCATGAGCAACAGGACAGCGCTGCGAACCAATGGGAAGGCTGAGGCAACCTGCTAATGGAAGCATCGTTTACTGGGTGCTCATGAAGAAGCCAGCCCTGGCTAAATGCCTTATGTAAATTATCTTATTAAGTCCACACAACCCCCTTAGGCCTAGGCGCTGTTGCAAACCTAACTCAACAACAGGTGAGGAAACTGAGGCTCAGCAAGGTGACAAGGTCGGCCAGGGACCCAGCTCCAAAGCGGCAGAGCCAGGTTCAGAGCTTGAGCGTGAAACGCCGGCACCTCTCCGTGTCTGTGGTCAGGTGTCCCGGACCCTAGGGTGGGTCCCAGCCCCACAGGGAGGTCCCCACAGCCCCCACAGCCCCCACCCGCACCGTAGCATCTACTGTTATCTTTGCCGTATTTTGGTAGCTTGAAAGCAGCCATGGTAGGAATACTGACTCCACGAAATCAGCAAGAGCTACAAATTAGGGTTTTTCTTGCTGATTATTAAACATGTATGAGGCCCGCCTGTCCTCACCACTCTCAGCACCTGCTCGGGATGAACCTTCTCACACTGCTTGCCGCCCTCCCCCCTAGTCCATCTGGGCAGGGGAATAAGGAGGGAGCAGGGAGGGAGACCGCCAAGGTGGTGGGGACCTGGGCTGTGGAAGCAGCCCGGGGCAGGGGAAGATTCGAAACACACCTTTATGGGAATAGAGGACCGTGATCGAATGGCTGGACTGCTTCCCCCGTTTCACCTGGCGGTGCAGCTCCAGGCACAGGCAGGATACGAATAACAACAAGGATTTATAAAGTAAACATTTCCACTGTGTGTCCTGGCTGGGTAGCTTTGTTTGTGGGGGCGTCATCCTGATACCCCAGGGTTGTGGGTTCGATCCCCAGCCAGGGCACATACAAGAAGCAACCAATGAATGCGTAAGTAAGTGGAACAGCAAATCAATGTCTCTCCCCCCTCTTCCTTCCTCTCTCTAAAAAGAATAATCAATAAAAAAATTTGTTTAAAAAAAATGTCTACAAACTGCTAGACTCCAAAGGTAGATAAACATTTCCTGTAAAGAACCAGACAGTAAATCTTTCAGGCTTTGCAGGCCACACAGTCTTTGTCACAGCGACTGAGCCGCCACCTTTTTAGAGCAGGAGCAGCCACACTGGGCATGTACGTGAACGCGCGTCGCTGCGCTCCAATAACACGCTGTTTACAAAGGCGGCAGCTTCTGATGGGCGACCCTGGGTAGCCAGCGCTCCGCCTGCTACCTGTTCTAAGGGCCTAAAACCTTATGTCATTCTCCCCGGAGCCGAGTACTATTATTATCCCCATTTTGCAGATAAAGAAACCGAGGCTCTGAGAGGAGAGGAAATGATTCATCCAAGGTTGCACAGAGAAGAAACCCGAGCTGGATTTGAACTTGGGCGTGATGGGCTCCACAGCCTGTCCGCTTCATGCCAGACTGCACTAGCTTCCCAGGAGCCGTGCAGTGGCACGCACCCCGTTTCCCCTGAGCCAGGACCAGCCCGAGGGGGAGGCGAGGGCCCCAGAATGGAAGGAGTTTCGTGCAGGGGACCCGCCAGGCTGGAAACAAATCAAGCCTCCTGCCCTGCAGGGTGCAAGAGCTTGGGTCCCCGTGGCCCCCCACTGGACCTGAGTCAGCCTCTGCTGCTGCCTCGCCCAGTTGGGGGGCCGGAGATGGGGTGGCCGGTCTGAGACCCCTGGAATCTCAGGCACCCTCCGTGCGCAGCTCCTGACCAGCCCCAGTCAAGGCTGGTCACCTTTGACCAGGTCCCTGTTTAATCATTGACACAGGACAGGGGCACTGACCAGAGACTGGGCACCTGGGAGACTCACTCCCCCTGCAGGCCCTCTCCTCCCATCCCCCACTGCTGTGTCTGGCGTTAACCCTTTAGCTGCTGGATTGCGGGAAGGTCCGGGGAGAGGCGAGCCAGAGACCTCGCTGGGCCCCGGGAGACCAGGGAGGCACAGAAGTCATGCAAGTCCCAAACCTTGGGTGGCAGACCGGACTGCCTCTCTCCAAGCGTCCCTCGCCGTCTCCCTCTGGCCTGGCAACCTGGGCAGCGCTCCCTGGCAATGCCCCTGGTGGGCGCAGCTGGTGGGCACAGGGAAGGCAGGCAGCCGAAGGGGCTTCTCACACCGCCAGCTGCTCCCCAGAAAATGGGGACTGCCTGGGCTTCTTCCCCGAAGGTGTGGCTGGAGGGAGCTGGAGCCGAGGCCACTAAATCTGTCCTGCTCACTGCTGGCCAAAGCCGCCCACCCGCCAGAGGGAACCTGCAATTTCACCTCATTTGGAGGTGAGGCTTCTAAATTTAACGGCTGGGCTCCCAGGGCTGGGCAGCTTTTATGCCTGAGCCCCTCACTTAGGGCCCTTTCATATCCGCTCAAATGCCGGCCAGGGCTGCGTTTGCTTATAGGAGTTTCCAAAATAACCCCTTTGGTTTAGCATGAAAGGAAATGGCAAAATAGCCCAGGATGAGGAGTGTGCGTCGAGACAGGAGTCCCAGGCAGCCTGGGGAGGCTGCTCTGGAGCCTAGACTGTCTTCTCCTGTGGGGGTCCTCCGTCTGCAGGCCCCGGGGCCCTCCCTGCCCAGCACAGGCCTGGCGGGGGCCCGTGTCCTGCTCCGACTCAGGCCTGCAGGTGCACCAAGGGCCTGTCACCTGAGCGACCCCAGGAGGGCACAGGCAGGCCATTGTGCTGGACTTCACTGCACACCTGCGCCCAGTTCCCAGGGGAGAACACGGGGTGCGGCCACAGGCGGTCAAACGCAAGGCGGAGGTTGAATGACCCACGGCCCGGCCACACGGGGGACGTTGGGGTGGCCGTCAGGAACATCACTTGGAAGAGCAACGACGTGCAGAAGTGTTCAAAAGAAGATGTCGAGTGAAAATGAGCGCGATGGGAATGACAGCCAACAAAGCCTCGGTTTTAATTTTGAAACAACACCTTCCAAAGCTCTGCGATGGACATGCATCACTCAGAATTAGGGGAAAAAATGTTAATTTGAAGAAAACAGAGCTGGACCAAGCCATGGCCGGTTGCGTATTAATTAAGCCGTGGGGCTGACTCTGAGAGCCTTTTATCTAGAGAACGTTGCTTTTCGTGACAAACCTGGGATCAGAGGAGAAAATTTCCTCTTAAAAACATATATATGTTTTTAAGGTTCCCAAACACTGTCTCCAGTCCCAGTTACCTCTAACTGGGGTTTTCACAAGGTAGAGACGCTCATGATTTCTGGGAAATATCCAGAGGGAGTTTTAATGTAAACA